TTGTTTCCCCCCCCGCCCGCCAATCCTGAGCGCTGGGGGGCGTGGCCACACCTGGGAGGCGTGGCGGGCGGCGGTGGGGGCTGCGGCGTCCTGGGGCGAGGCGCTGACGTGAGCTCCGCGCACCTGGGCCGGGCAGGTAAGGGCTAGTGCGGGACAGGGAAAGGATCCCGCAGTCCAGAGCCGGGCACCACTTGGCCAGGTTGTCGAGGAGTGTGGTGGCGACAGGTGATCCCAGCAGCGGACTCGCTTCGAAGGGACGCGCTCCGGGCAGCCGGTTTGAGGAAAGGTGGGGACGCCGACTTCTGGAGACTAGCTTGAGGAAGAAGAGACACGCCCGGGGGTGGGGAATGGTCTGCTCTAGAGTTTGGGGGGTCGTGAGAGTGTGCTTGGGGCCATTTATTAGGGACACCCACTGGAGCTGGGTACCTGTCCTCTCGCCCTCCTCCAGATAGCTTTGGGGCGGTCCAAGTTCTGTAGCGCTAGGCCCCTCCCGATCCCGATCCCGAACTATGTCAACTCGCTTTCCTTCCCTACCGAAAAGGAGGGCGCTGCCTTAGGGCCCCCCAACTCGCCCCACCTCGGACAGAGCGAAGGCACCGCCCCCCTCCCCTTTGGACTTACAACTTGCTTGGCCACGGGCTCCTGAACCCCAGAGAGGGGACTTTCCAGGCCCGCTGGCCGTTGGTCCAGGTGGTTGTTTTGGAGCATTGAAGGTGAGCACAGCCGGGAGCTTTGGCCGGTTTGTTTTCCCTCCCTGAGTTTCTTTGGTACAGTCAGCCCCTGCCCTGTGCCTGGGAGACACCCATGGATTTCCAAGTAGCCCAGCTAGGTGTCTGGGAGGGTGGCGCTGGGCGTGGTTGCTCTGGGGGTGAGGCCCTCTTTGCCTGAAGGGGCTGGAGGGTGGTTAGGGAGAAAAGGGAAAAAGTCTCCCAGGCCCGCCTGTAAAGAAGGCCTGGGGTGCCATTCTTTCTAGGGACCCTGTGTTGTGGTAAAGGGGGTCACCCTACCTCGACCTCTGCTCTGGTGGATGTTCAGATGGAAGCCCAGAAAGGGGGAGGGAGATGGAGCTTGAGTACTAGTAGGAAAGTGGGCCCTGACCCAAGAGAGAGTTTAGGGTTAGGGTTAGATTATGCAAAATGCACAGTAGCAGTGCCCAATACCCTGCAACTCCCCTTCATAGTCCTTTTTTTTGGGGGGGGAGAGGTTTTTGCTATAGGGAAAGTGCGCTTGCCAGAAAGACAGAGACAGAGAGACAGAAAGCAAGAAATCACCCTCCCAGGGGGGTTAGCCACACCGCAATCCCTTCTCCTCCATTCTCCTCTCATCTTGGGTACGCACACACACGTGCCTGGTGTGAGTTTAAGCCACCGGGTCTGGGACTCAAACCGTGGTTGAATACATGGGAGTCCAGTGACATAGCCATTACGTCAACTGCTAGTCCCATAGTCTTTTAATGTCACTCCTGGAAGACTAGAAGTTTACCCCTAATTGGGGCTAAACTAAATGAAGGGAAGGCTGAGAAATTTGGAGAATAGCATCTCCCTTCCCTTCAGGAGGAAGGGAAAATGGGACCACCAACTAAGACCTGTCTGAGACAAATGGTGGGTGAATTCTGCTCTGAGCAAAACTACCAAAGGCCAACTCTTGGGTTTGCAGTTAGTCTGAGCAGAGGCTGCAGAGGTAGCAGTGAGGGTATAGAGGACTGGAATGGGGTGTGAGAGAGGACAGTTAGTGCCTTGGGGAGGTTGAAAATGTCCTCGCTCTCTGCTCAGTGTGAAGAGAGTGAATGGGTTGACATTTTGTCCTCTGACTGGCTAAATACTTGTTAGAGACACTGGCCTTGAATTTTGCTGTGATGGCAGCTAGAGACACCAGAACTGAGTTTATTAGGCTAGGGGTTCTACAGGTGCTGGAATTTGGATGGTAAGAAGGTTTAGAGTGAGAACTCTGATTTCCCTATGTTTGAGAGTGAATGTCCTGTGGTATCAACTCTAATCCGTTTTGGGCCTGCGTGCTGCTGGATCTTTGTTGTTAAATTTTTTGGTTTACCAGGTGGGAGGGACATAGCAGGACTTCATACAGGAGTGTTGGGTCCAGGCCCTAGGCAAAGCACTTAACTTTGCTGTGCCTCAGTTAACCTAGATGTAGAATGAAGATAATACCACTTCCAGGATTCTGAGGATGAAGTCGGACATAGTAAGAGTACATGTGAATACTGTGAAGCCTATGCAGATAATGAGGGTCTGGATACTGTCCTTCATAAGAAATGTCTTATTGTCCTCTGGTTAAAACAAAAAAATGATATTGGGGACCAGCAGTTGGTGTTATGGCTATGTCACTGGACTCTCATGTAGTTGACCACGGTTCAAATCCTGGACCCGGTGGCTTAAACTCACGCTGGGCATGTGTGCGTACCTAAGATCCTGAGAGGAGAATGGGGGAGAAGTGATTGCAACGTGGCCATCCCCCCTGGGGGAGTGATTTCTTGCTTTCTGTATCTCTTTATATTTCTGGAGAGCACACGTGCCCTATAACAAAACAAACAAAACAAACTCAAAAAAATTATATTGTAGTTTTAAAATTTAATTATAAATCAAAGCATATCATGATAGGAAAATGTGAATTATATAGGAAAGTATATAGGGAAGGATATCTTATGACACTGGTATGTATATTTCTCCTTTTCAGTTCCATGTGTATGAGCATGTTTGCAAGTATGTTATTTTATAAAATGGAGATGATGCTGCATAGTCAATGTTGCATGTTTCATTTCCCCCTTTAACTTCATATTATAAACCTTTCTCAAGTCTAATAAAAATTCTTCAGCCACCTACTCTGTTGTTAATGGCTGCTTGATGTTGCAGCCTGTGGATGTGACATTATAGAGAATCATTTCCCCCCTTGGTCATTTTAGTTGTTTTTAGTTTCTGCCTCTCTGCCTGATTTTAGTCTTAGTTATTGGGTAGCAGCTGGGAGGGGTCTTGGCTGACTTTCAGAAGGTGGAGAGGGAGGTAGGGCAGGGAGGAGGGCAGGCTGGGGCTGAGGCAGGGTTGCTCATGTGTAGTCCCATCTGGGGAGAACACTGAGAACCTAGGCTGTAGATCTAACTGCTGATCTCTATGGGTGGCTGCTTCTCCATCACTAGGTGTGGCTCCCTGTCTTGGCCTGGTTGCCTTAATTTTGTCTTGATAGACTGTGATCAATGACAGGAAGCCCTTTTTTCCAAGTGTATGGTCAATGAAAGGTGGATGTTATACATCTGATAGGCCCAAAATATAGAACTTACTGGTCGTGCAGTAGAAATCCTCAAAAGCCCCTTACTAAATTGCCTGGTTTTCTTATTTCCTATTCTCTCTCTCTCTCTCTTTTTTTGAGAATTATTTATTAAATTTATTATTATTATTTTTTTCAATTTGCCCATAGAGAGAGAAAGAGAAAAATTGAGAAAGCAAGCCTCCAGGTCCAGGTCTTGAACTGTGGTTAGGCATGTGGGAATCCAACGCCTTAACCACCATACCATTTGCTGGCCCCTTCTTATCCTCTTTTTCCTTCCTTTCCCCAGCCCCTTTTCAGTAGGACTCAGATGGGGAAGAAAAAATTAGAACTTGTCCTTGAAAGGATAAGCGTCCTTCCTCCTTATAAGGTGTAACTGTATTCCCTGGTGTGATGGTTTCACATTCTGCCCTACAAAACACCCTAAACCAAGGCCAGGACCGTGGGAGCACTTGAGTACTGCCTACCAGCCTCATCTGTCCACTGTGAGCTCTGCTCCCCCAAGGAAGGTTTCAGTTGCAGGAGGACTTGGTAAGTGGGTCAGAAGGCTCAGGTGAGAGCAGTTCCCATTTTGCTCTTAAAGTGTCAATGAGTGGGGCTTGGGTTTTTGCATTTGTTGAAAGTTCAGCCGGGCGAGAGAGGTGGTGTTAGAGGCCACCCCCTCTTCTACACTCCTGCCAGTGGGAGCCTTCAGCTGACTCAACTGGTTTGGTTTCAGGACCATAATCCAGGTCTTCATACCTCTCTGCCTATGAAGGTGACTGACTTATTTTCCTGTCTTCCTCAAGCTCTTGTGGGGGTCTGAGTAGATCCATTGTGGATTTCCTTAGGAAAAAGCATCTGATGAAAATATTGAGCTTTTATATTCAGTAACTAGCACAGTGCTTAGCACACAATCGCTGATAACAAATACCTATTGAATGAGTGTCATTTTTCCAGACATCCCTTTCTCATCTTCAGTAAAAACAATAAAACAGAACACCAAAAAATCCAAATGCAACATCTAGGCAAATAGTTCTCCAGTAACTGGTTTTCCCTACCCACTCTGGGCAGGCCTTTATTTTCTACTGTGGGTGCCTTGGCTGCTGTTGAATGTTATCTGCTATGTCTGTGTATTTTTATGAGAATCAATTGCAGACTTTACCCAGGCTGACTCCTGCAGCCAATCGGCCCACTCCAGCGTCTGTAGGGAGATAAACAGACCAGGTGGGGAGGCTTTTCTAGCTATGTCTTATGACTTTTTAGTACTCAGCGGTAGGGATCTAGTAGATGATTATTCTAGGACTTCCAAGCTTTATAGACTCAGTTATAGGGAAGTGATCGCAGAGCTTTCATCTCCACTGTTCCTAAGCCTCCCCAGAACTTGCTTCTTGTGTGGATAATCAGCTGAGATCTCCTTTTCTCGGTACAGAATCTTTGAGTGACCAAAGGAAAGGAAAGCTGACTGAAGGTTCAGCTCTTCAGAGCCCCCAGGGACACACTGCCTGCCCGTGCATGTAAGTAAGGACTTCAGAATCCAGGATTTGTCTCTCCCCTCCTCTCTCACTACGATGGCGCCATTTCTTACCGAAATATTGCCATTCACCTCTTGTTGTCTTGTTTTAAAAAAGAACATGCTTCAGTTTCTTGCCTATATACTTGAAGTTTTCATTTTGTTCTTCCTTCTGAGATGAGATTGAAAGAGCAATTACCCCTTTCTTCCAAAGCCCTGGGCACTTCAGGAAGGACTGTGTTCCAGTGGGGATGACATCACCTTTTTATTTTTCTGCCTCGGGATTTAAATAGAAGAAATGTGATCTGCTTGCATGATAAGTCTGATTTGGCTAGAGCATGAAGTATAAATGGCTTTGGAATAAGAATCAAAAGAACCTTTTAACCTCTTTTCTTTTCTTTCCCACCTGGCACAGTTTATTCCCATATTTAGTTTCTTTGCTGTAATCTAGTGAAACGGTAGCTCTATCATACGGGAACTGAGGCTGGGAAGAGTTCCCAGTGGCTGGCCTAATTCTCCTTCTCTCCCCACTTCTCGTCTCTCCTCCCCCCAGATCATGGCCCTCCACCCCCGCAGAGTTCGGCTGAAGCCCTGGCTGGTGGCCCAGGTGGATAGTGGCCTGTATCCTGGGCTCATCTGGCTACACAGGGACTCCAAACGCTTCCAGATTCCCTGGAAACATGCCACCCGGCATAGCCCTCAACAAGAGGAGGAAAATACCATTTTTAAGGTAAAGGAGTTCTTTCACCATCTGGCTTGAAATTTTTTCCAGTTCTTTCAGACCTTTCTGGGTTTGTTTTTTCTATTTGGGCACAGGGAAAACACTAGATCCAAAACTCTGATGAAACAGAGGATGTTTATGATGGGGGTGCCCAAGCATAGCAGGCATAGTAATTTGTCTTGTTGGGGCATGTCCATGGTGGAAGCCCTTTATTCTTTTCTCACTGGTCGAAGGTACTCAACTCATGTACCAAAGGATCTGAGGTGGGGTTGGCTAAGCTGCTGTACGTGGTTGTAGTGACGTGGTTGTTCCAAAGGTGCCCATTGACTGCTTTTTATTCACCAGGGCTCTTGGTGTGATGAGGGGTGCGTATATAGGCCGGTTGATGGTGCAACAGTCAAATGCAACACTTTGTGAGGCTGGCCCACGTGGGAGGGATCTGGGTTTATGTCTGGAGAACTTCTTTGTTTTTTTCTTTTGTAGAGATTTTTGCTTTAGACACATGCACTCACTGGAGAGAGAGAGACAGAGACAGTGAGAGGGAAAGTGAGAAGTCACCACCCCTGGGGGAATGGCCATGCCACAGTCCCTAGGGATCTTGGGTATGGTCACACTACAGTCTCTTTCCTCCATTCCTCCTCCCTATCAAGATTTAGGGTATGAATTCACACACACCTCCCATCTTTTTCAAGCTATAAGGGATGGGATTTGAACTGAAGTTGACCATGTAGGATCCAGCTCCCTAGGGACAGTGCTTAGGGTTGGCTTATGTTTTTCTTTTGATTATATTTTGACCTTTTCCATAACCTCTGTTAAAAATTAATGGTGAGTAAATTATAAGTTTTTATTCTACAAATATGTTTTCTTAAATTAAAAATAGCTCTAATATGGTCATTTGATTTAACTGGAAAGGTCACATAGCACAATACTTAAATGAAACTGAAACTTGACTTGAGGCAGGAATATATGAGCAGTGGGTTGTGGGACAGGGTTTTAACTCTGAGTTGTCACCCTGGAGGTTGTGCCTGTACTGTAGACCATCTTCTTGTTACTGGTCACTTACATCTTGTGAGTAGCTTTGGTTCCTGTACCCCCAAGACATGGAGAAGTGTTTGTCTTTCTCTGTAAGCAAGAAGTCAGAGTGAAACCCAATTCCTACAATGGGCCTCTTATTTGTGCCCCAAATTCTTTCTGAGATTGGATCAGGAAAGGGCAGAAAAGAAGGTCCCAGGGCTCAAAGGAAAGCCATTCTAGAGATGTTTCCCACTCAACTCTGTTATGTCAGATGCAGAGAAGAAAGAGAGAAACTGTCCTGAGAGTACCTAGAAAGAAAGTAAAAGTGATGAGGAAAATATCTGTATACCATACCAGTTATTGGAGCTGGCACTGAGAAAGGGACAGACCTGCCCCTGTTCTAACTAGCCTCTCATTGTGGCCATGGCCTGAAACTGGACTTGCTGGCCAAGTGTCTGGTTCCTGAAAGCCTCACTTATGAGGGTGATTTGCATGCTTCAGACTTTAGTAAAGGGTGGCTGTGGGGAGGCTGCTTTGCCTTATTTATATCTGTATGTCTATTTACAGAGAGCAGAGAGGGAGGTCTGGGAAGTAGGAGACTGCAAGTGCATTCAAGAGATTGCAAGCTTTGAGGGGCCTTTGGCAGGATATGCAGGTGGAACACTAACTCCATGAAATGGGTGCCTATGTCCTTCTTTTTTTTTTTTTGGAGAAGTTTTTGCTATAGGGTGTGTGTGCTCGCTAGAGACAGAAAGTGAGAAATCACCCCCCGGGGGGATGGCTATGCCACAGTTCCTTCTTCATTCTCCTCTCGGGATCTTGGGCACACATACACACACACCCAGTGTGAGTTTAGGCCACCAGGTCCAGGACTCGAACCACGGTCGACCACATGGGAGTCCAGCGACATAGCCATTACGTCAACTGCAGGTCCCACCTGTGTCCTTTATTTAATTTTTATGACAGCCCTGTAGGGGAAGTATTAACCTCATGATATAAGTGCAGAAATTAGGACAGTAGGTAGTGTGAAGGTTTTGGCAGCTGGGTCCCACATGGCCAACTGTACTGGTCTAGTCATGGACTCAGCAGCTTGAAAATCACACCAGGCATGTGTGCGTTTGCACATAAAATCCCAAAAGGAAATTGGAGGAGACTGCAATGTGGCCATTCTCCCTGGGGCGTGATTTTTCACTTTCTCTCTCTTCCTCTCTATCGCTATCTCTCCCTGGTGAGCATACATGCCCTATAACAAACTACAGAAATGCAGAACTGAATATTTGAGGGGCTAATCCACCAAAATCACTCAACCAATAAGAGGTGGAGTCAGGATTTGAAACCAGGTAGATTTGAAACCAGGTCTACCTGCTCTTTATGACAGCCATTGGAAGACCTGGCCTCAAAGCTTACTACCTTCAGCTGCATGTGTGGTTTTGAGCAAGTGAAATCACTCTGGGCTTTGGCTTCCCTTTCAGTAAATTGGGGGTGAAACTAGACATGCCTGCTTCTGAGGATTATCATGAGAGTGAGTGCAATAATGCATGAGAAGGGGTTCATAAAGCACCATAAATAAGGGATTATTTTAGAAAGAAATATAGGGACCTGCACAGTGACCAAAATATCTTGGAAACAAGACTCAGAATAGATTTGGACAAATAGATGTTTATAAACCACAATGATTTGTCATGTGGTACCTAGTAGGCTTCCTTTCTTGAGTCTAGCATTACAATCTCTGTTGCTTCAAGGGTACTCAACATCATGAGGATGGGTCCTGGGGACGGCTGTGCAGGGAGCAGGAAAATTTGGGGCTGTGGCGTTAGTCAGTCTTGTTGCTTTCCACGGAGGGGCAGGGCTTTTGAGAGCCAAAGAAATTTGCAGAGCTCTGCCAGAATCTATATGGTCAAAGTCCTCTGTGTGTAGCCAGAGTGGGTGTGAGCATAACAAATGAAACAAATGGAAAGGAAAATGTGAGGAGGCAGCAGCCAGGCTTCCCAAGATGTGCTTCCCAGATACCAGGGAGCAGAGAAGTTGAAATTCCCTGTAGAGGGCTGGGTGGAATGGAACAGCAATTTGGCCCTGCTAAGCCTCCCAGGGCAGCACAACTTTGTCAAACTTAGTCATTTCATACAACAAAATGAATGGGGGAACCCAAATCGGAGAAGGTGGTAAGGGAAAGTGAGCCACCATTGGAGGAGAAGGATTTAAATTGGCTCTTGGAAAAAACTTACTTATGACTGTGCAGGGGGTGACTAGAGGAGTTCAGATATTTCAATGGATAGGACAGAAAAATGTACTGATAACTTGGTCAGGACCACAGGCAGGGAGTTGGAGTGGGACAAATGATATGCCCTGTGAGCCTGAAAAAGCTGGTGTGTCCTTTGTCTTGAGTCCTCTGCTAGTATCTCCTTTTAATCCAGAATAGGTCACACTCTGAAGAAAGCTAAGAGATCAGAGAATATGTTAGCAATTGGGGAGAGCATATATGCTTTGCACAGAAATATAAATGCCTATTAGAGCTGGAAGTAGGACTAGGGTTCTATTAATACTCACTGCTTTGTTCCTGAGGACCTTGGTCTATGGTATGTGCAGCTCAGGTTTCCTTTTTCCTTACTGGGAAAACTACCTTATTCCCTTCACCTAGGGAAAATGCTGAGAGTTTCCATATTTGAAAACCTGAAAGGAGTAGTCAAAATGGTTTTAGCTCATGCCCTAGCCACTGGTGTGGCCGACAGCATGGTGCTTCAATGAAGTGGGAGTTTGAGGGAATAGAGGAAGCTAGGGGTGTGGGTCTATTAGGACAGGAGACCCTCAGCCACAGGGATAGCTGAGCTCCCAGCTTATGCTTCTCCTAAAGGCACTGGGTTTCTGTAATTCTTTTTTAATGAATCAGATCAAAGATGAGGGGAAGGAACCAGCATGGCCACTCTTCATATTATCTGCCATCACCCTTTGCTGTACTCATTGTTATATAAGCAACTCATGTTGAAAATAGATAAGCAAAAAAGCTACCTGAAATTCTGCTGTCAGAGTTACCATTGGCATTCTAGTGCATGTTTCCCCCAGATTGTCTTTATTTTCAATAGTTTATTATAGTGTTGTCATCTTGACAGGTGCTGATACCAGCATCTGAGATAAGGTTCCTCCTTTGAAAATTTTTGTTTGCATGTGGTTTAACTTCCTTCCCTTAGGCCCTGCTGTGCCTGGTTCTAAGTGCGGTGTTTCTTGCCGCCATCTCTGTAAATTGGGGTTGGATGGTAGAGTGGTCATGCAGGGCTGTATGTGAGTCTGGTGTCTGTATGAGAAAAGGTGCGCGCACGCTCTACAGTGGTTCTGGGCAATATAGGCACTCACTGTAGTTTCCTGTTCTTCAGGCCTGGGCTGTGGAGACAGGGAAGTACCAGGAAGGAGTGGATGATCCTGACCCAGCTAAATGGAAGGCCCAGCTCCGCTGCGCTCTCAACAAGAGCAGGGAATTCAACCTGATGTATGACGGCACCAAGGAGGTGCCCATGAACCCAGTGAAGATATATCAAGTGTGTGACATCCCCCAGCCCCAGGGCTCAATCATTAACCCAGGTGAGGCCCCAGCTGGTGGGGGAAAAGGTAGGCAGTATGCCAGCTTCTGGCTGGACTCTTAAAGAGATAATCAACTTGAAAACAGCCTAGTTTACAAAATAGAAGACTAGTAAAGCAAGAAAGCCTTTCCCCAGGAAAGACTTGGAGAACAACAGATGCAAACTCAGCAAACTCTTCTTGCTAACTTAAAGAAGTTATTAGTCTGATTGCTTAAAGTATGAGAAAGTAGAGGAAAGATAGCATTCCTACTGTAAAATAATCTTTCCTGGGACTCAGAGGCCAGGTAATTTTGAAAGAGAAGGAATTAGAACTTAGTTTGAGTTCTGAACCTGGTTCTTATCACTTCACTAATTGTGGGACTTGAATCAAGTCATTTGACCTCTTTGAGTCTCATTTTCTTCTACTCTGACATGTAGTCTCTCATCTTTCCTTTCTGCTTGAAAGGCTATTATAAGAATTGATTTTGGGAACCAGCAGTTAGCGTAATGGCTATGTCGCTGGACTCCCACGTAGTCGACCGCGGTTCGTGTCCCGGACCCGGTGGCTTAAAACTCACGCCGGGCGCGTGTGCGTGCGTGCCCAAGATCCCGAGAGGAGAATGGAGGAGAAGGGATTGCGGCGTGACCATCCCCCCTGGGGGGTGATTTCTCGCTTTCTGTCTCTATGTCTCTCTCTGTCTGTCTGGCGAGCGCACGCGCCCTACAGTGAAAATCTCTCCAAAAAAAAAAAAAAAGAAGAAAAAAAAAAAGAATTGATTTATACGATATGTAAAAGCTATGAAGTTCTTTATAAATATTGGGTGAGTGATCATTTAATTTGTAGGGTATTGATAAGAGAATACAACCTGATCTTCCTGTTTACTCAGTGCTTAACACATACTAAGAGACAGATAATGTAGACTTGTACTCCAGTGAGGCCCTACCGTGGGGCTAGGATCTGTTGCCCATACTAAGCTTACGAGGGCAAGGAGTTGGTACCTTGAGTTCTTAAAAGAAATACTAGTGTGTAAGAAGCTAATATGTAGGTATGCTAATATGTAGAGATTTCTAGAAAGGATTAAGGTCTGTAGCTCCTGGATAGGGGAAAAGAGCTTAAGTAGGGATCTGTAGGAAACATTGAAAGCAGTACACCCTTGGTGTTCTCACTCTTTTTAGCTAGGACATTAATGGTGCAAACTGAACCCATAGAGCCTCTGTACATAGAGGCTGGTCAGCTGCAGGGGTGATGGTACAACATGAACTGCTTACCTTTGGGCTTATGTGTCTCGGGTAGGATCCACTGGGTCTGCTCCCTGGGATGAGAAGGATAATGATGTGGATGAAGAAGATGAGGAAGATGAGCTCGATCAGTCACAGCACCATGTTCCCATCCAAGACACCTTCCCTTTTCTGAACATCAATGGTGAGTGAGGGAAGGGAAGAGGACGGTTTGCAGAGCTAAGGAGGATGTAAAAGGTTTCCTTCGAACTGCTAACCCCTCAGCCACCATTACCCTGGAAGCAGGATTAAGCCCTGTGGCCAGGCTGTTGGTCTGTTAGCAAACATGGGTCATGGGCAAGGGAATTTTGCCCATGCTTATGGGATAACTCATTTATTCCAGTGCAGAGGGTGAGTCCTAAGCATAGAGAACATCTTCTAAATTCTATGTAATAATTCAAATAAATAGAAATAGGGAAAAAATCCCACATACAAATATACCGGTGTTACAAATTTTGTGTTTCCTTCAGGCTAAGTGCAGGCTTCATTTCTGTGAACTATAGGCAACTTCTTCCAATATTTCACTTTATGTAATTCCATGTCATCTCCTTAACTGTGACCACTCTGCTTAGGCTGTATCATTGGAAACTTATTTATTTATTTATTTTTAAAGAATTACTTTATTTAACTTTATTTATTTACTTACTTATTTTTAATTTGACCAGAGGAAAGAGAGAGAGAGAGGGAGAGAGAGAAAGAGAAAGTGAGGAAGCAAGTCGCCAGATCTGGGACTCAAACCATGGTTGGCCATGTGCAAGTCTAGCGCCATTAACCACGACGCCACTTGCTGGCCCAGAAACTTATTGTTTCTGTAGCTGTTAATACTAGGTTTTGGTGGGATATATCTGCAATAGACTTTACATTTATGGGCTTTTGAATTTAGCATCCTAGGAAAAATGAGTTGAGAGGTTGGCAGTCCACTGTGTGAAAGAACAGGTCTTGAATCCCTCAGTGCACATTCTGAGGGTACTCAAATACATGTTGAATTGCTCTCTGCAGCCTCATTACTTCATCTGTCCACTGTAATGTTTTGAGTCAACTAACTTGTATATAGCTGAGCAGATTTTCACTATCTTTTTAGTGCCATCTGGCTGCTGTGGGTCAAAGGAGATAATTTATGCACCCTAGGAAACAGGATATCAAGATGATTTCTATAGGATTTGGGGCACCCTATGCTTAGTGATGCCCCTACTGTTGAGAATCACAAAAATCAGTCTTACTGCGTGTCTACTGGCCTTCCTTTATTTATCTTGCCATTTATATCTTTGCAATCAAGTGATGAGCAAAGAAAAATTATAATTCATAGAGATTTTCCAGGTCAGTATTACCAATTGCTACATTTCTGGTTAACAAACTTTTAAGAATTAGATATCTGGACATGCAGAATCCTTTCCTAAATTCTTGGCTAACTCATTATATTATTTTCACCCTTTAAAAGGATACAACCTATTCTCACTGTCCTGATTTCCTATTTCTGTTTGTATTTTATTAAAGCAAACATTTTGTGTCTTTATGTTTTAGGCTGCCTTGCATCCTTTTTAGTAAGTTCTAAAATAAATATGAAAAACAAAAAAGTAAAATGAGTAGGTAGATTTAGCGAGACTCGTACACAAAGGGTCAAAGAAACTCATACACAAAGGGTCAGCTCTGTGATTTCAAAGCTGTTCGGGCAGAGGAAGAATTGTTGAAGAATAGATGCCTAAGAGGTGAGACTAGGAGGAGAAATCTGTAGATTTTGGAGGAAGCCAACATTGACAGTAACAGTGAAATAAGATAGGCTTTAAGTTTTAATTGAGTACTTTAACATAAATAATACTTCCCAGGGTTTAAAATAATGGTACAGGGGTCAGCAGGTGGTGTGGTGGTTAAGGTGGTGGACTCTCACATGGTGGACTACAGTTCGAGTCCTGGACCTGGTGGCTTGCTTTTTTACTTTCTCTCTTTCTTACTCTCTGTCTCTCTGTTATCAAATTTAAAAATTAATTAATTAAAATAAATAATTCTAAAAAAAAGGTGAGTTGCCAAAATTTTAAAAAATTAATTAAAAAAATAATGGTACAAAAAGGTAGTAAATTGAAAGGCTTTTCTTCCATCATGTCCTAGAACCTTCTAGTTCTTTCCCTGGAGGAAATAGCTTGTTCTGGGTTCTTGAGTATTCTTCCAAATATTTTATGCATATATAAGTATGTGTTTTTAACAGAATTTCTGTACATTAACACTTATTTGAAGCTCATCAACTAATTCAGTTGAGTTGGTTTTATGAAAGACAACTAGCTTCTATTTAGTTGCTACAGCCAAATTTTACAATGGGGAATCTTGCACTCATGCCCATTCTAATTTGACCTCAGAAAAAAACTCACTTGTCTATATGTTAATCTTTGGCAAATGAAGGTTTTTTAGAACTATGAATTTATGAGAGAAATAATATATCTAATAATAATGTAGGAGCAGGGGAACTGTATTTCTTACCATGTTAAGTTATGGGAATCTTCGGTGGGCTGGGAGATCACACTGGGTCATAGCTCAGTGTTTGACTTTATTGACCTTGTTCCTTCTTAGAGCCTCAGACCAGGTGATGAACATGTGTGGTGCCCCTGCCTACTCACCCACATCCTTCTACTCTAGGTTCTCCCATGGCACCAGCCAGTGTGGGCAACTGCAGCGTGGGTAACTGCAGCGTGGGCAACTGCAGTCCTGAAGCAGTGTGGCCCAAAACTGAACCTCTGGAGATGGAAGTACCTCAGGCACCTATACAACCTTTCTATAGCTCTCCAGAGCTGTGGATCAGCTCTCTTCCAAGTAAGTGAGCTCTTACGTTCTTGTTGAGTATTCAGCTCCTATTATGATCCCTTTCCTGTCTGGTCTTCCACCTTTTTTTTTTTTTTTCCATGTATAGAATAACTTCTTGTCCTACAGGCACCCTCTGTCTACTTCCTGGCTGGCCGATGAGTCACCAGGGAAGAAGTCAAGAAACTTTAGCCCATATCTACTTGCCCATGGTGATGTTCTGATTGGTTACAGCTCCAGGTTACTCCCTTCTTAGATTGGTGAGAGGCCTGAGTTTATCGGTTTGGGTAGGTAATTTGAGGACAAGGACAGTTGTGAGATAGGGAGGTTAGTGGCCATACATTTGGTCAAGAAGGCTCTTGGATTTTGAGGCACTTTAGGACACAGAAAAAAGCCTCTCTCCAAATTTGGCACAAGTTTAGTTTGTTTCAATGAAGAGTCAATGTCTTTACGTTAGTCTCCCTCACATTTTACATGAAGGAGGCATGAGTGTTAAAATTTTGTCCAAGAGGCTAAGTAGCTTTTGCTGGGTTCAATGGAGACTTGCCGAGTGAAAATTTACTTTGCTGTGAACTGTGAACTTTTATGTATATTGTTAGGACAGATGCACAATGTGCACTCACATCTGTAATTTTCAGAAAGATGGCTTGGTATTTCTTCTTATTCCTCTGGTTTCTTTCAACAGTGAGCCCCAAACAGGACACAAGCCAGACACCTTAGTTTTTTTTGCTCTTTCTAATGCCTACTAATGTGAATATTCAGTATGACATAGAGATACTAGGACCCAACACTTTGCTTGATGAAATTCTAGCCCTTAGGGTGTGGTTATTGAACAGAGATGGACTTTAGACTGTTTACTACAAGGCAGTCTTTTGAGTGAATATTCCAGAGATCTGTTGAGTTCTCCCTTTATTGCAGAAAGGATAAATGTGGCAGTGGCTTTTCTGAAAGTTGGTTGAATGATGACTTGCTCTTGATGGAACTTGCATGGGTCGCAGGGATGGACAGGCAGAGCGGTGAAGCAGTACTCTTACTGTCATCTCACCTTGCAGTGACTGACTTGGACATCAAGTTTCAATATCGTGGGAAGGAATATGGACAGACCATGACTGTGAGCAATCCCCAGGGCTGCCGACTCTTCTATGGGGACCTGGGTCCCATGCCTGACCAGGAAGAGCTTTTTGGTCCCGTCAGCCTGGAGCAGGTCAAATTTCCAGGTCCGGAGCATATCACCAATGAGAAGCAGAAGCTATTCACTAGCAAGCTGCTAGATGTCATGGACAGAGGACTGATCCTGGAGGTCAGCGGCCACGCCATTTATGCTATTAGGCTGTGCCAGTGCAAGGTGTACTGGTCTGGGCCATGTGCCCCATCACTTGCTGCCCCCAACCTGATTGAGAGACAAAAGAAGGTCAAACTGTTTTGTCTGGAAACATTCCTTAGTGGTGAGTTTTTTTTTTTTTTTTTTTAAGGTTCATGATGGGAATTGTTATCTAGAAGTACATCTTCCCTTCTTCACTCCCCCTCCCCCACTGCCCACCCATTCCTGGCTTAAAGACATTTTTAGTATTTGAGAGGTTTTTGCTATAGGGCACATGCACTCCCCAGAAAGACAGAAAGAGAGAGAGAGAGAGAGAGAGAGAGAGAGAGAGAGAGAGAGAAAAAACAAAATCAGCCCCCCAGGGGGGATGGCCATGCTGCAATCCCTTCTCCTCCATTCTCCTCTTGGGATCTTGAGCACGCATGCACACACACCCAGCATGAGTTTAAGCCACTGGGTCCAGGACTTGAACCACAGTCGAGTACATGGGAGTCCAGTGACGTAGCCATTATGCCATCTGCTAGTCCCTGGCTTAAAGATCTTAAACCAAAAAATTTCTTCTGGAGGATGTTAAGGCAGAAGAGAGCTTTGATTCTGAAGAGGCAACAAAGTCAAACCTAGACAACAAAGAAGGGAGTTCTACTGCAAGGCTATGTACTTGGGAACTATTTTTAGGTGTAGCTCCATCAGCAAGAGAAAATGGAGACAGCCTTATCATTATCCCCCCAAATGCTGCCAGCTTATCTTTAACTTTGAAAGGTGAACCTGTTTGTCATATTCAGCAAAACACAATCTTTTTGTTTGGGCTATATGCATGGTGAACTCAAGAAGGCAGTTTTATGGAGAGCATTGAGATATAAATTTTATAATATGATTTGAATCCTAAGTCTAGATCAGCGATGTCCAATGAAACCCTCTGAAACAATGATAATATTCTCTATTGTGCCATCCAGTGTGGTAGCCACTAGCTGCTATTGAGCACATAAATGTGACTAATGTGGACAAAGAACTATTTAATTTTAATACATTTATAATTAATAACCACATGCAGTTAGTGGGTACTGAATTGGACAACATAAAATCTGGTGTTCACTGAGTGAATATGGAATGACCCTGAATACCAAAACTTGTTCTTTTCACCTTCTGCAGATCTCATTGCTCACCAAAAGGGGCAGATAGAGAAGCAGCCACCGTTTGAGATCTACTTATGCTTTGGGGAAGAATGGCCAGACGGAAAACCCCTGGAAAGGAAACTCATCTTGGTTCAGGTGAGGTTATAAGGATGTGTCAATAACTCTTCTCTTTTTTGCCAAGGCTTTTGAACATAGGACTGGGTCATATCCTCATCTAGCATCCATCACCTTATGTGGGTTTTAATTCCTCAGATGGGATAGAAGACTCAGGCTCTGTACCATAGGGACAAGCTGAAGAATGAATGTGAGGTTCTTAAAGTGGATGACTCATTTAGTGGAGACTATCATTCCCTTACTGACATTTGAGTCTTGCTGAAATCTCACAGGATATGATCAATTCTAGCTTTTCTTAGAAGAAACTTCTAAGCTGCTTTTAATAATGTAATCATTCTTAAAGAATTATTTTGACTTTATTTATTTATTTAATTCTGACCAGAGAGGGACAGTGTGAGTGTGTGTGTGTGTGTGTGTGTGTGTGTGTGAGAGAGAGAGAGAGAGAGAGAGAGAGAAAGCAAGCCACCAGGTCCAGGACTCGAACCATGGTCGGCCATGTGGGAGTCCAGTGCCCTTAACCACTACACCACCTGCTGGCCCCTAATAATATAATCTCATTCTAGGAAATTTCAGCAAGGCCACTTGGGCTTAGCCTTAGAGTTGTAAAATGAGGCAGGCAATAGATGACATTTACCTAAAGTCTTGCTAAGTAAGCAGTCTTCTATTCAGGCATGTGATATAATGCTACATTGAGGCTCTTTACTTTCATTTGAACAGACTTCTAGAGCAAACCTAGGCAGGATGCTCCAAAGACAGTGTGTCCTGTATCTAGCCATATCCTGTGTGCTGTTTAAAAATACCTTCCCGGGGTGAATGGTGGCACAGTGGCAAAATGTGACATTATGTAAGGCTGACTCACATGCAAGTGTTCCGGGTTCTTGTCCGGGGACCTTCTTGAATATGCCAGACCCATGCATGCCCATGACCAGGGCTGGCTGAGGGTGGGTGCGTATTGCAGTATCAAGACCTTGTTGGTTTTCTCTCTCTGTCACTTTCTCTCTGTCTGTCTCACTCATGGCATAAATAAATAAACTTAAAACAAACAAACAGAAGAATAACCTTATCCTCAACAAATACCTGTGTGCTCTGTGTCTTGAACAGGTCATTCCGGTGGTGGCTCGGATGATCTATGAGATGTTTTCGGGTGATTTCACACGATCTTTTGACAGTGGCAGTGTCCGCCTGCAGATCTCGACTCCAGACATCAAAGATAACATTGTTGCTCAGCTGAAGCAGCTGTACCGCATCCTCCAAACCCAGGAAAGCTGGCAGCCCATGCAGCCCACCCCCAGCATGCAACTGCCTCCTGCCCTGCCAGCCCAGTAATCTTCCTTTTCTTTTTTACAAGATTGTACATATGGATATTTTTTATTACTCAGATATAACAGCTTTCTATCTCTCTTTTCTATAACAATGTTAGAAGTCTATGATTCTCCATATATGTCTAGCTTTTAAAGTTGATTTAATTTATGAAAAAATCATCCTTTAGGCTTTTTTTTCTTTTTTTCTTTTTTAATTTTGTCAGGAGGTACATGTTCTCACTGGAGAAAGAAAGAGGGGGAAAGCAAGAAGACACCTCCCATGGAGGATGGGTCATGCTGCAATCCTTCTCTCCATTTCTTCCTCCTGCCAGGATTTTGGGCACACATGTACACGTGTCTGGCATATCTTTCAAACCACCGGGTCCAGGACTTGAACCATGTAGTCAGTCATGTGGAATCCAGTCACCAACTGGCCCTTTCTTCTTTTTTAAATTTCTCAGTGGTAGTATGATGTAGCAGGAAGAGTTTTGGCCTAGGAGTTTGGACACCAGGGTTCTAGCTGCAGCTTTACTTCCAATGTGACCTTGAGCAAGTCATTTAACCTCTGGGCTTCATATTTATCACTTGTAACATGAAGGGATTGGAATGATGCCTGAAATTGCATCCAGCTTTAAAACTCCGACTCAATGACTTCATTCTACTTGGACAAGGTAAAACTGCCTGGAACAGAATGCTTCTTCATTGTTCTTGTACCACATTTTTTTTTCTTGCTTTCATTAAAGTTCCTTCAAGCACTGATTTGTCCATGATTGAGCTCTGTTTGACCTGTTTGGCTAGTATAGTAAGCTGGCTCTCTGATGGGGGAAGTAAGACGGAGAGGAGCTGGTTGGTTGCTTAGGAACCAAGCATGGTATCTAAATAGAAATGGGTGCCAAAGTCTGAAAGTCACCTGGCCAGTGGACTAAAAGCTCATAAATTGAGCTTTTAAAGGGAAGCTGTCAACATAGAGAGCTTAGGGATTCTGAGGAAGAATGGGTTGTCATGTGTCTAATTTGTCACCACTCAAATACCACTGTAGGGTAGGGTGGAGTAGAGAGGATAGACCAGAGGAAATGACTCAGGTGGTATCTTTTAGAGGAAAAAGCCACCCCCCCCCCTTTAAAATTATTAGGTTTTTAAAAATTTATTCACTGAGGAAGACCTGAGAGTGAGCAGGGCATCTAGGATAAACTCCTTTGACTACAAAAGGGACAGTTTCTCCCTCCTTGGAGTCTTCCTGTCATTTGGACTTTTTGGAGAAAAATTGGGTGTTGGCTGTGTTAAGGCCAGGGTGAAGAAGGGCTGGGTAGTGCTCTCTGGAAAAGGCTCACCTAGCACAAACCCAGTCATCTCCCTTGCTAGTGGAGGTATCTGGGTGTGAGCAGTGAAGGTGAAGAGTGGTGTTAAACACTGTAGCTATATCTGTCACCAACTGGTCTTATCTAGTAACTTTTGCTTCGTCTCTGGTCCTTTTGTCTCTCCTTTTAAGGATGAAATTATACATAATGTAAACTCTACCACCTGAATGGTAAATAAGATGCTAATCTTTGGTTGCAGGTCCCAGTCCTCTTTGAATGCTGATGCCTGTTTAGTCTCTTACCCTCAACCCAAGCCACGTCCTACTTTCCAAAATAATTGAAGATAGTCTGCCTTTATTTAAAACCTGAAAGTTCAAGTAAATCAAAGGTGACAGTAGCTCTTATCCATTTATTTAAAATGCTTAAGCCTTGGTTCTAGGGTCTCTGAGAGACTAGTAAAATCTGCTATTATTAAAAAGCGTGACGAAGAAAAATGTTGGTAAATGTTGGTTGCACAGCTTCAAGGAAAGTTATACTTAGAGATCAAGAAGCATGCAAGGCAGGGAACCAGCAGTTAGCGTAATGGCTATGTCGCTGGATTCCCACATAGTCGACCGCGGTTCGCGTCCCGGACCCGGTGGCTTAAAACTCACGCCGGGCGCGTGTGCGTGCATGCCCAAGATCCCGAGAGGAGAATAGAGGAGAAGGGATTGCGGCGTGACCATCCCCTCTGGGGGGTGATTTCTCGCTTTCTGTCTCTCTGTCTCTCTCTGTCTGTCTGGCGAGCGCATGCGCCCTATAGTGAAAACCTCTCAAAAAAAAAAAAGTATGCAAGGCATAAAAAATACTTTTTTTTTTTTTCTTTTTTGGTCATTATGTTAAATGGATGAAGTGAGGGATTTGGCTGTATCTTGGATTTTAAAATAACCAGTGTAAGTAAATTAGAGTAACTGTTGAATCTGGACCAGTCCCTTTCCCTTCTTCTGTGATATGCTAACATCTAATGTCTGTCTGCATAGAAGCCTAGTTAATGTGAGCTGGTAAATGTGTTGAAATGGTGTTCTGAAATGCTAGGAAAGACAGTTTTATTTTGGGGAAGAGAAATTTTTGCGTTGGTACATGTGCGCTCACCAAAGAGACAGAGACAGAAAATGAGAAATGACTCCCCAGAGGGGATGGCCACACCACAGTCCTTTCTCCTCCATTCTCCTCTCTGGATTTTGGGCACACAAGCCCACGCACCTGGTGTGAGTTTTAAACCACCAGGTCTGGGACTCAAATTGCAGTTGACTACATGGGAATTCAGTGATGTAACCATTATGGTATTGGCTGGTCCCAGGACAGAGCTTTTAGTATGTAATTGTAATGAAAAGTTTACAAATGTGTCAGAGGAACAGATGAGTGGTTTTATGTGATCTTAACTAGATAGCTCATTTTCTTGCTTTCAATCCCACTTCAGAATGCTGGGTTTTCAGAAAGTAGTTCCCTTCATACACCTTAAGAACTCTTTCTCTGGTCCTGAGAGATACTAGGTGTCCTTTCTTTCTTGGAGATTGAACTGCTATTTTCTTTGGTGGCTACCACTACTTACTACCTTAGTATGTTCTGTTTCCTCACTTTCACTTTGTTTAAGACTGGGGATGGAGTTAGATTGTGTCACCAGCTCTTCTTTTTCTTCATGATGCCCTCTACGAAATTAAATTAGTTCAAAGATAAAACAATACAGGGAGGACCAGCAGTTGGCGTAATGGCTGTGTTGCTGGACTCCCATGTAGTCGACTGTGGTTCGAGTCCCAGACCTGGTGGCTTAAATTCATGCGGGGCACATGTGTGTGTGTACCCAAGATCCTGAGAGGAGAATGGAGGAGAAGGGATTGCAGCAGGCCATCCCTCCTGGGGGGTGATTTCTCGCTTTCTGTCTCTCTTTCTGGTGAGTGCGCGCTCCCTATAGCAAAAACCTCCCCCCACCCCATAAAAAAAAAAAAAGAAAGAAAGAAAAGAAACCCACTGGAGGTAAATTGGGAGATGTGGATCTGGGATGACCCTTTTCCTCATAAAATTAGGTCCCTGGGTATAATTCCCATAGCACTAAAGACTTCATCCTTCAGTGTAATCATTTCCCTTATATTTGATCAGCATCTGTGTCCTGCTTGACTACAAACTTGTTGAAGGCAGGGATTGTCTTAGACTTTGCAGCTAGTTTTTAGAACAGCATCTGATACACAGTATGTTCTTGAATATTTGTTGCTGGAATAAACGAGTGAACCAAGTACATATTTTAGAGAGTTACTGCTAACCACTGTGGGAAAATAAAATACATAAATATGAGGAAGGAAAGAAATTATAATTAGAGGACTAGTTTCTAGTCTGTTTCTGGCTTCCTTTAAGCTAATAACCAGAGTTAGGCTGGCAGCCTCTAAAAACTCATCGTTTGCTCACTTCATCTTTATTTCAGTTACCTTTTGTCACAGACTGAAGATTGCCACCAAGGTAAAGCCAAGAGTGAAACCTTCCGTGTAGGTGTCTGCAGTTTCTTTGGCCTCTATTCTGCTTCCCACCTAAGAGGATATTTAGAAAAATTGGTGGGAAAATGAAGTACAAGGGTTTTGGGGTACAAATAATAAAATTTATGCATAGTTTTGTCATAATACATATTTTCAGTGAACTTTTTAAAGAACCCTGCTGTAAAGACCTTTGGGCCATTTTCTCAGATACTGAGGTAGTCTTTTTTGGGGGGGGAGTTTTTGATATAGGGCGCACACGCTTGCAGAGACAGAAAGCAAGGTGTTTCGTCTGGAAGGAAAAGCACATTTCCCCCATTACAAAGCAAAAGGTGCTCGGTAATTGCTGGGTGTCCTGCTCCTGGCTTCTCCGTCAAGTTGGATCCCCCCCAAACTTCATAACGCCCAGGCGGGGCAGGCTGCGAGGCAGCATGCAGCGGTGGGTAACCGGTCCCCCAGGTTCCACCCTTTTCCATCCACGTTCGCCACTCCCAGTTCCTGCTAAGACGGGCGGGGCCTAGTCTTGTGTGACCGGAAAGGGCGGGCTGCGGGCAACACATACTTCCGGCGCGCAGTGGGGCAGCGTCCCAGTGGTTCTAAGCGGAGGCGTGAGGGCGGGTTGGATGATGTCACGGAAGGGTAATAAGGGGGCGGGACCGGAATGGGTGCGCGTGCGCAACAGTTTCTCTTCGCCTGCTTTGAGCCTGGCAGGCTGCGGGGGCGCTCCTGGGTCTGGCGTGATTTCCGGTGTTGCGGCAGGGCGCAAGCCACTGTGAACCTTACCCGCAGCAGGTGGGAAACCGGAAGGAGTTCCTGAGCCGTGAACTGCAGCGGAAGTGGCGGAAGAAAGTATGTGAGAGAGGTCTCTGCTTCCTTTAACAAATCACTGTAGCTGCTCAGATGTAGGGTGTGTGGTTTGGAGGGAGCCTCTTTTCCAAGGATTCCAGGATGTCCTCTGCCAGGAGGGGAGGGTGGAGCAGCAGAAGTTAAAATACAAGCCTTGTGCGGTTGTAGCAGATTTCGTTTATTTACCTTTAGATCTCAGGGTAAGATGGTAGTTAGTCCACGTTCTACAGTATATTCATTTAGTCAGAATGCTCTTCTCCTTGGCGGGAAGAGACGGGGAAGTTAGCAGCGGGAAGAATATATTTAAACCTAGAACTCCGTCCCAGAAAGGCAGATTGGGGCAAAATGCTCAGAATTTTGCCAAAGACCCCCCTGCCTCTTTGCCCCAGAGTTAAGATTTGAATCAGAGAACGTCGTTTGAAGACGTAAGATTTAGAAGTCAGAGATAATATAAATCTGGCCATGAGGCCTGAAGTTCACATGGATTTGGGACTAAGGAAGACTTAGCCAGAGAAATCAGGTACTCTTGGTGGCCCCATTTTCTTCAGCTTGAGTTCTCACGCAAAGCAGAGGAAGGGACAAACTAACCCCTGGAAAATGCTAGAAGACTTAAAAGGAAGGTTGTTTCAGGTTTCCCAGTATGTCATTGGTTGGTGTTAATTCTCTGCTATTGCTTTGATTTTAGGCTCTTAAGTGTCTGGAGCTGAGAGATGCAACCCAAGGAAGGGAACTTTGCCTAGCTGAGAAGGTTATGCTTAATGTTGGTTCCAGGTCTCATGTCAACACCAAGCCCTCAGCTTCTGGTGGCAGCTGCTCAGCAGACCCTGGGCATGGGAAAGAGATGGAGTCCACCCCGATCTATCTGCCTTCACCTAGCGGGAGAGGTGCTGGCTGTAGCCCGAGGTCTGAAGCCAGCTCTGCTCTATGACCACAACTGTGCAGGGGTATCAGAGCTCCAGCGGTATCTGAAGGAGCTGCAGGAGCTGGGCTTTCTGACTCTGAGACTTCATATCCTTGAGATTGGAGAAAATAACCTGATTGTCAGTCCTGGGCATGTATGTCAGCACTTGGAACAGGTGCTGCTTGGTGCAGTAGCCTTTATAGATGTTTCCAGCTCCCAGCCTCACCCTTCCATCTGCTCCCTGGATCAACTTCAGGACTTGAAGGTCTTCATGGCTGAGATGATCGCACACTTACAGGGGCTGCAGAGAGACCTATCTTTAGCAGTCTCCCACAGCAAACTCCATTCCTCAGACTGGAATCTCTGTACTGTATTTGGGCTCCTCTTGGGCTATCCAGTTTCTTATACCTTTCAACTGAACCAGGGAGATGACAACTGCTTAGCTTTGACTCCACTACGAGTGTTCACTGCCCGGATTTCTTGGTTGCTAGGTCAACCTCCAGTCCTGCTCTATTCCTTCAGTGTCCCAGAGAGCTTGTTTCCAGCACTGAGGAACATTGTAGACAACTGGAAGAAGGACCTCAGAACCCGGTTTAGGAGTCAGAATGACTTTACTGACCTCAGCATCTCATCTGAGATAATCACACTGCCAGCTGTGGCCCTCTAACTTCAACTCTCATAGAGAAGGTACTTAGTAGCTAATCATATCTAGATTGTTAATGGCCAATAGAAATCATTTCGAGTGGTAATTCCAAGTGTCTTGAGAGCAGCATCAAAAAATGGCTGTAATCAATTGGCTATATGTACAAAGTGCATTGGTGGTGGTGATGGTACATATGAGGGAATCTAAGAAGTTCGTGGAAAATACATGTGAAATACTAGGTGGATTTCAAAATGTTTTACACCAGAATAAACTTAGACATCCTATTTTCCATGAATCTTTTGAAATTTCCTTTTGAATTTTCCTAGGTAAAAAGTAATTTTTACCTAGTGGAGATGTTCATTTTTGACTGGATAATAGAAAAAGATGGAAAAGAAGGATGGTGGAGGACAAGGACAGTATACCCTTATTAGGTAGCTTTGTAAATATACTTATCCTGTATGGGTAGCATCTGCCAGGAAAACAGAAAAGCTGTACTTTTCTGCATATTTACATACCTCCAACTGAATAGGATTAAGGAGGGTAGACCAGGGTGCTTAAGTGTCATACTTGTGATGTGAAGTGTCATTCAGTAATAAACCAAGTTATGAGGAACAGTCAGGTCAGGTGAAGTTTATTTACAGTAGATGTAAAAAATAATAACAAATTTCATTTCAGTTGAGGGAAAAGCCAAAGCTGTAAAGTACCCAAACCTTAATTTTTCACTGAGTTCCTTATTTCTAAGCTTTACCCGAGGCAACTGTCACAAGTTATTCAGATCATCAAGTTGTCTTTGTTGGCCAGGAACACTGCCAGCACTGTGGCAATCACCACCATCAGTAACTGGAGCCATGGGCCACATCGCCCCTGTGTGAAGGGAGGGGGAGATAGGAGAAAGTGGCTGTGAGTTGTCTGAAGAAGAGGTAGGCAAAAATAATCTTCCTCCTTCCTATTCTAGCCCAGTGGAAAACCTTGAGTTGATAGCAGAGAAAAGGCTACTTCACTCAGTCCCACTTTCTGTTACCGCCCTTGGGCTCAAACCACTTTACCAGTGTTCTCTGGACCAGGGAACCATATCTAGCAGGACCACATACTTATTTGCAGATATGAATAATCAAGGGTAGAAAATAACTCAGCAAAATTACATTCTCTGTTCTTGTGCTTCAGTACTTTTGCACTCTTCCTGCCCTTGCCACTGTGCTCACAGGAAGCTAAAGACACCCTTTCATACTTTAATAGTAGAGTCTGAGCTCAAGACAGTGAGCACTGGGCTTGGATATAGGAGCCAATTTCTTTTCATGGCTGTTATACTGTTAGTATAGTATAAATCAAGTGTAGTAGAACAGGCTGACCCAGTGTTGACATGGACTGCTAAATTTTATCTGCAAGACATGGTTAAGGAAGGACTTGTCCCACAGTCATCAAGGATTATGGGAAGATAAACTCTCTTACTCTGGGAGGCGGCTGCCGGCCCTGGTTCAGCTCTTCTCGACAGAGTTGCAGCTTATGCCGGCAGGAGAGGTACTCGTCGCGGAGGTTGTCTAACTCTGAATACAGTTCTCTGCACTGTGGAGAATATCACCGAGGTTACCACTACCAATTCTGTCTAGAACAGAGGCCGGGTAGGAGAAACTTCTGGGGCACTGCCCCTCACCACCATTATCCCTCAAACATTTCTAGATTGTGTTTCCATTCTCTCACCTAGTTTTTCTGGAATGTGTTCATTGAAATGATTTGTTATAACACATTTACATTTTATATATTAAGTGCTTTTATATGACAGTGTGTAAGTAGTGGGCACTAAAAAATAAAGTTTTTTGAATGTAAAAGACCTATAAGGGATGTTAGTTAAAATTTCTTTCCCAGGAGCTAGCTGTATGTGAATATTTCTGGGGAATGTTCATTTTGGGGATTGACTGGGAACTGAACCCAGGCCTGTCATGTAGCCTCAGTCTGTGGAGTAGTAGCATCTACCAGCATGTCTTACTTCAGCTGAACCTAGGGGTATGTATGTATGTTTGTATGTATGTGTGTACATTCATCCCTTGGTATCTGCATAGGATTGGTCCTAGGACCTCCCACAGATGCAAAATCTGTGGGTGCTCGAGTCCTTTATATAAATTGACATTATATTTGCACATTATCTGTGTACATTCCCCATGTACTTTAAATCATCTTTACTTATAACACCTCATACAAAAAACTGATATGTAAATAATTGTATTTGGGAATGATGATAAGGAAAAATAGCCTATACATGTTCAGTACAGATACAGCCATCATAGGCTGTAACTACATAGTATACATCAGCAATAACAACACTTTAAATCTGCAGTTGGTTGAATCTGTGGATGCCTAATCTATGTATGTATGACTCTATGGGCCAACTGTCTTTAGAAAGAAAGTTCTGCTATTTAAATTATGCTGTATAAAGCAGTCCTCAACCTTTTTGGCACCAGGGACTTTTTTTGTGGAAGACAGTTTTTCCAAGGGGGCTGAGTAGGAGGTACGTTTATGAGAGAATGAAACCTAGATCCCTTGCACATGCAGTTCACAATGGGGATCATGCTCCTCTGAGACTAATGCTTACACTGATTCGACAGGAGGTGGCGTTCAGGTGGTAATGTGAACAGTGGAGAGCCGTTGTAAATACAGATGACGCTTTGCTCACTTGCCCACTGCTCACCTCCTGCAGTGTGACCTGGTTCCTAATAGGTCATTGATTGGTACTCATCCATGGCCTGGGTATAAAGTTTTTAAGATACTTGATGAGAGAGAGAATTTGAGAAGTTAATATGTTTATTAAATGTAAATGAGTTTAGGTTGACTTTCCAAAGGGAAACTAATAAAATCTTGAATAGGGGTTGGTATACATAAAAGACTGACTTATCAAACAAAAAGTAAAGACATTTGTACAAGCAAGTGAGTACCTGTGGACATCTAATCACAATCTAAACTTCAAAGTCCTCAGCAGTTTTTCCCTGTCAGTGAAACCCCTCACTGTCTGGGACACTGTCTCACCTTCTTTTCCTTGGCCTGGAGCTGCAAAGTCTTCTTTTGCAGCTGGTCTCTGAGATCCCAGTCTTTTTCCTTCCCTGTACCCTCAGGTTCCACTTCGTTATGAGAGGGCTTTGGACTCCACACAGGCAAAGCCTGATCTAAAAAAGCATCCAGATTCTCAGTGATAGTGATGCCCACACTTCTTAGGAAGGACCTTGTCACTGAATGAGAACCCCTGGGAGTAGGAGGAAGAGAGCGAACAAAGAGGGCTTGCACCTTGGCTAGACTAAATTGAAGGAGATTCCCTGACTTAAAAGAATTGCCCTAGGACTCTGCTCAGCCTGAACAGACAGCTGGGGTTTAAGCTCCTTGAGGACAAATTGGCATCTTATTTTGGCATATTTTCTTTGTATCCCCAGTCTTGTCGGATGCCAGATAATTAATTTAATTTCTTTGGTTATTTGCCACATTCTTTCTTATTTGCTAGACACTCAGATACAACCCCTTTTCCCTTATGTCCTCATTTCAAAGCTGTGAAAATGGCAGTCATATCCTAAAATTTATCTCCATTGTGGTTAAAGATGGGTTTCCAGCTACCTCACGGTCTTAATCTCAGTGAAAAGAGCACTGGACACTAAAAGTCAGAAGTTCTGATTGTTGTCTTAGCTTTATCCTTAATTTGTATGACCGCAGATCTTTTTTTTTTCCCCCTACTATGTAGGCATAATAATTTCTACCTTATCTGTTGGGTTGTTGGAAAAGTCATGACACATTTTTACATAGAAAAACATAGAATACATCATGACTTTTCTGACAACCCAGTGTTATATTACGCATGTCATGGATAAGAGGAATACATGGATTCTCAGAAAGCTTGGGTAGCAGACACTTAAGTGACTCTTGCATCTACACAGTTTGGGGTTCGGAAGTTAGATGTGCTTTGGAAAATCAGTGCGTAAAAATTGACATGATATCCTGAGTTCAAAATCATTTATTGGAATGTTCAACACAAACATGTTTTGAAAGAGTAGAAATCCTTTATATACCTCTCAAGATAGAAGGCTAACTACAAAGTATCCTCAGAGCCAATTAACAGTCCTTACAGAGCTCCTCTACATCCCTGATTTAACAGAATCCCAGAACTAGAGGGGACTCCAAGAGGCCATATAGTCCATCCCCTGCCTCTAGGCAGGCAAAGAAAAAGTAGTATCTTAGAATTTGTGGTAGTAAATATGCTGACCTTTCTTTGTTAAACGTTTCTCCTGTTCTTGAAGCTGTAAGGATTGATTCTGAAGCACACCTGTTGGGAAACACAAGGAACTTGTCTATGCTAGCATATTTACTATAAAGAGTCTTTCTTTTATTTTTTTTAAGAATTGTTTTACTTAACTTCATTTATTTTATTTATTTTTAAAAATTTGATCAGATAGGGATAGAGAGAGAGTGAGTGAGGAAGATAGAAAGTGAGAAAGCAAGCCGTCAGGTCCCAGACTCAAACCTTGGTGGGCCATGTGGGAGTCCAGTGCCCTTAACCACTGTGCCACCTGCTGGCCCCAAGAGTCTCTTTTCATAACTTTGCTTAGAACCTTGATTATTAAAGATGTTCCTATCTGCCATGGGTTGAATTTTGTTCCCCCCAATTTTTCTGTTGAAATTCTAACTCCCTGTACCTCAGCTTGACCTTGTTTAGAGATTGGTTATTTACAGAGGTAATCAAGTTAAAGAGAGGCCATTAAAGTGGGCCTTAATCCAATATGGCTGGTGTCCTTGTAAGAAGGGGAAATTTAGACACAGACATTCTCATGAGAAAGATGTGAATAGAAATGAAGATGAACATCTATAAAACCAAGGAAAGAGGAATAGACCCAGTCTGTGGTACTTTGCTATAAATATATCATACTTAAAATCTCAGTCTACCATGTCTTTACCTTCAAGGGTCTATGTACATGTTTCCTTGCCTTAGAAGAAAAGTTTTCCTAGATGACTCTATATAAAGAGCAACTACTTTCCCTTTATCCTGTTTTGTTTTTCTTCATAGCAGTTATTACCACCTGACATACATTTGTTTATGGAAACTCTACACTGGACTTCTAGTAGAAGTTACTTAGAATGTAAGCTTCAGGAAGAAAGAAACTTCATTTTGTTCACTACTATATCCTCTGTGCATATATGTCGAGTGCCTGGCAGTTTGTAGTGGCTTAATAACTATTGAGTAACAAAAGCCATGGTTTTGAAGTGGTTTCTGTCTGTCCGGCTCCTGTCCTTCAGGAGCTTGGTAATTGCTGGTATTTTCCCTCTGTTTCCACTTTGCTGTTTGCATGAAGCTTCTATGTCAAGAGTGTCAGGTTAAGGTTGGGAGCAACCAGGAGAGATATTAATAGAGTTGGGTTCTCCTTTCCAGGAATTGTTTATTTTTCTTTTGAAACCCCCCTTTTTTTTTTCTTCTCTGGACCTAATATGTAGTTTTGAAGTACACTGAGACATGTAATGTGACCTTATTTTCTAACCCATCCCTAATGACAATTATCTGCATGATATACACAGACATGTACATAATATATAAAATAAGAACCATTCAGGGAAACCTACTACTTTTAAAACTTGCAGTTCTAGAGGAAATGCCAGTGACTGTCATTAGCATGGAAGGAGAAAAGTTAAAAGGGTAAAAAAGAACAGACGCTAATATATAATTTATGAAGACCTATGTAAATGAACTTGCTTAATAAGAAGACAGTTTGAAACTACACAGAGATAGAGGATATGCCAAAGATTGGGCCTCTGACTTCTCTGGGTGCTTTCTGTGGTCCAGGAACCCTGGGAACACCAAAAAGCAACTTGCGCTACTTTCAGAACTGGAGAGGGAACTTACTCTGCAACTGTTGTACTTTGGTCACCAGGGCAAATTTCTCCTCCTCTGCCCTCTTTAGTTGGTCTGAAAATGAAATAATGCAAACCAAAGTAGAAGAACCCAAGGCAGAACACCTGAGGATGGAAATTAGTCATAGGTACTATCTTTTCTGTGGCCTCTAACTTATGTCAAATGGAAGTTGCTCTATCTTCTACTTGTCCCAGTTCTGAAGGACCAGAAGCTAAGCACCCCAGAATTCATCAGCATCAACAATGGGTTGAATTAGTGTTGTATTTGCACACTATCTGGTCCTCTCTCTGATGACAAAGAGGCTGGGACTGGGAGACCTTCAATGTGCCATGTTTCAACTGACCTTTCCCTTTCAAATTAGGAATGTAGTCTTGACACTTGTGACTGATATGGGAGCAGATGTGATCTGGCCCAGAGGGATGGGCTGGTAAAGAATTCATGCAAGATACTCTATGCAACAAAATTAATTTTCAATTTCGCATTATTAAAAACACCCTGCCCTTCCCTCGAGGTAAAATGAAATCAGAAAACTAACCAAGCAAACAGTCAAAAGGCTCACACCTTTCTCTCCATCTAACTTCCTTTGCCTCATTTCCCTCAACCACGGCTCCCCATAGTCTAGAGGCTTTCAAGGAGAAGGGTACCTTGTAGATCCTGAGTATTCAAACTGCCCCGGTCTCTGTCTCCTTGCAGGAGTTCAATCTTGGCCTGTAGTTCCTGGTGCTCATTCTCCAAAAGTCTCAAGGCCTGGTTCATCTGTAAATCTCTGCTGTCTGCTCCCTGAAAGGAGAAAGAGAGATCCACAGAATTAGGTCAGTGCTACAGGGGGAGGTTGGGGACAAGTCCTATGGAAGAGGAAACTTAAAATTGTAGAATTTAAGAGCCAGAAGGAATGTTAGGGAAATAGAGAAGCAAGGATTTTATTTTGTATTCTTCCTTTTGTTCTGCTCTGTTACATTTATAACAGTGCATTATTCTTTTGATATTCACAGGGATTTGTTTCCTGTCACCTTGGTAAGTCACCAAATTGAGGAATATCAAGTCACCACTTTTCTAGATGTTTTCACTTTTCGTTTCTTATTCTAGCACTAATTTTCTTTCTTTGGTAATGTGATTTTTCACAAATTATGGTTAAAACAGCAAGCGAAAAATCTTAAGAATTGCCTTAGAGGTGGTGGGAAGAAGAAAACCATAAAGGATGAGGTGTGGATGAGAAGCATGGTGGCCAGTGAGGTTCACTCCTTTTATAAGGCTCATACACTGCTTCTTATCAAGTGGGCTGTTCCGATCCCTGTTTTAGGAATAATTTTGAGATCTTCACAATTCCAAACCAAATAAGTAAAATCCATGCAAAATATCAAATATATGATTCTATTTTTATTTTTTTTTTGGAGAGGTTTTTGCTATAGGGCGCGTGCGCTCGCCAGACAGACAGAGACATAGAGACAGAAAGCGAGAAATCACCCCCCAGGGGTATGGTCATGCCGCAATCCCTTCTCCTCCATTCTCCTCTCGGGATCTTGGGCATGCACGCACATGCGCCCGGCGTGAGTTTTAAGCCACCAGGTCCTGGACGCGAACCGCGGTCAACTACGTGGGAGTCCAGCGACATAGCCATTACGCTAACTGCTGGTTCCCGCAAATATATGATTCTTATATATGCTAGGCATTGGGCTAAATGCTTTTCATTAATTACCTTACTTAAGCCTCAGAACAATCCTAAAATATAGGTACTATTATTATCATCCTTATTTTAGAAATGAAGAAACAAGTTTAGAGGTTACTTTTTTAAGAACACAGCTTGGAAATAATAGAACTCTTAAGAATGCCAGATGAGGGACTACTGTAATCTCTAAAAAACAAGTTACCAGAGGTATTAATACTCACCTAAAATAAGTGACATTTTTTCTATGCCAATAGTTGGCAATTCCATACTGGATGCTCTACTGAGATGGAGTTTGGAGAATGGGTGGGATATGCCCATTCATAGGCTGATGAATATTCCAACCCATCCCTTTGCATTTGGACGGTGTCATTCCACTGAACACTTACTTCATGTGCATGAACGGTGAAGACTTCCTTAATAAACTCAAATTAGATTTCAGAACCAAAACAGTGAGGCTGGTATCAAGTGGGCGGTGAGGGAGAAACTGAAAGCCAGATGCTCTCAGCTACCTTTGGGGCTCCTGACCCAGGAGCAACTTCTTTCATCACCACCCCTCCTCTCCATAACCTTCCTCCTCCCCCAGTGCCTGGTACCTGCAGTTTGGACTGCAGCACATGGAGTTGGCTCTCCAGCTCTCTATGCTGGGTTCCTAGGGTCCTCCAGTCCTCCTTCAGAGCCTCATACTGACTCCTCCATTCTTCACATTTCTGTTCTGCCAAGGCCAAGGACCTCTGAGGGAGAACAGAGAGGAGTGCTTCAGCTCCCTCACTCCCTAGAGTGGGGGTGGAGGGAACCCAGCTTCAAGGAATAAAAAAATCTCCATACCTGGGTGCTCTGCAGCTGCTGCTCTGCACTTATTTTCTCTTCCAGCACTTTCTGCAGGGACTCCTTAGCTTTCTGCTCATAGCTGTTTTTCTGGTCTTCCATTTCCAGTAGCACCTTTTTCATCCCCCAAGGGGAGTATTTCTGTAAATTTGATGCATTCAACAAATACACACTGAGTTTCTGTGTGTCCAGTGTTGAACTGGTACACAGAAATCAAAAGAATTTGGTCTTTACCTCCAAAACAGAGGTACTTGTAATCTGGTGGTCCTTTTATTCCAAGCTAGAGCTAGCAAGGAGAGTTATTTGGGTGATGTGAGAGGTGAGCTGGAATGGTCATTGGGTCCCTTAGACCTTCCACAGGTTCTTCAAATCCAAGATGTCCAGTTAGAGCTCATCTTTCTTTTTTTAAATTATTTAATTTTATTTATTTATTCATTTATTTTAATTTGACAAGACACACACACACACACACACACACAGAGAAAGTCACCAGGTCCCATGTGGGAGTGTCCAGTGCCTTAATCACCACACCACCTGCTGGCCCCAGAGTTCATCTTTCTAAACTTGCTCATTTCTCTTGGGTTTCATATCTCAGTGACCAGCATTACCACCCCCCATCTAGCCCCTAGTCTCCCAAACCCTAAACCAGGGAGTCATTCTTAATCTCTCTCTCACTTTTTCCTGGTAATATATTGGTCATGAAGTTTGTCAACCTCTTTAACAACTCATACCTGTCTCTCTATACTTCCTGCCACTTCTTTAGTTTAGACTCTGATAATCTATTATATAGATTAATACAATAGTATCCCTATCTTTAAGCCTTGCTTCCCTTAGTAGCGTGGTAGTTGAGGTGCTGGACTCTCACGTGGCTGACTATGGTTCACCCTGGACCTGGTGGCTTGCTTTTTCTCTCTCTCTCTTTCTCCCTCTGGTGAAGTTGAAAAATAATAGAAATAAATAAACAAATAAATAAATAAATAAAGCCCCTCTTTTAGTCCTGCATTTAGAGTTCTTTCTAAAATGCAAATCTGATCATGCCACTCCCTGCATAAATTTCTCAACAGATTCTCAGTGTCCAAACTTCTTGGCATGGCTCCTACTTGCAAGTCCAGGCTTTCATTACATGTTAATTCTACCCAAGCTGAACTGCTTGCAGATCTTGTAAACACTGTGCTTTTTGGCTTCTGCCTTTACCCGTAATCCCTTGGCCTAGAGCCTCCCAACCCACCCTTGCAACTGGTTAACCTCTACTAAATCCCTGTATTCAATCCAAGTATGGTCATTTCTGATAAATCTTGATCAGCTGCCCTCCCAACTCCTAATGAATTAGGTAACTTTTCTTACTTTTGACAGTATTCAGAAAGTATCCCTTGCCTGCCTCTATTGTTCACTATATTTATTCACATGTCTCCCTTACTAGATTGTGAACTCCTTCAGGGCAGGGAACATGCTTCTACTTAAAAAATAAAATAAAATAAAAAACAACAAACAAACAAAAACCAAGCTCTGTTGCCTCAGGGAACCGATTAATTCCTTGTAAACTCAGTTAACGTTTTTAAATGAATACATTTGCATTTTAAAGTTCCTCCTGGCTTCAGGATTAAAAAAGAGACACAAAAACCACTTTGCAAATTCACCAGGGGTCTTGCTTTCCCTTTCATCTCCCATGCCCTTGTGATTTCCAAGAGGGCAGGTGGCTTTTACTATCAATTGTAGAATATCTATCAGGTAAACAATAGTCCAGATGATGCAAATTTAGGGATCAATGTGAAATCACTTTCCTTTAGCTTTGGTGTTTCCTGAAAATTTGGATTTAAACGTGAGGGGATGGGGCCAGCAGTTGGTGTAGTGGTTAAGGCGCTGGGCTGCCGCATGGCTAACTGCAGTTTGAATCCTGGACCTGGTGGCTTGAAAATGATGCTGGACACGTGTGAATGTGTGCCTAAAATCCTGAAAGGAGAATAGAGGAAAAGGGATTGTGGCATGGTTATCCCCCCTGGGGGTGATTTCTCACTTTCCCTCTTTCTGTCTCTGTCTCTGTCTCTCTCCTCTCTCTCTCTGGTAAGTGCATACGCCCTATGGCAAAAACCAAAAAGAAACAAAAAAGAGTGGGTCTTATATTTTTGAAATTTTTGTTAAAAACCAGATCCAAAGTGACTGGTGGTCATACATGGAGGTTGTCCCTGTTATTGGACTTAACCATGCTGGTCATTTGCCACTTTGATCCCTCACTGATAATGAAGTAGAATTATCCTCCTTTTTTTTTTTTTTTCCCCCAACTGAGAACTTCACATTTTTTCTGTTTGTCAAATGTTTCTTCCCTTTGCACCTCACATCCACCTTCCACCAACCATTTTCTACCACCCTCTTTCTCCCCTTACAGTTTCTAGCATCCACACTCATCCTCTCCACCATCACATCTTCAGATCTCTCAATCTCTACCATAGATGCAGACACTCAGTGCAAATTGAGTGGGGATATACAATGTGTATCTTTCAAAGTCTGGCTCACTTTAAGTCTTCTAAATTCATCCTTTTTGAGTCAAGTGATAAGATCTCAATTGTTTCTTAAAACTGTGTAATATTTCATAGTATATATGTGCCGTAGTTTTTCAACTCAGTCATTAGTTTTTGGACACTTAAGTTGGTTTCATGTTTTAGTAATTGAGAATAATGCTGCAACAAACATGGATGTGCAAATGTCATTCCAATTGAGTGTCATCCTGGAAGAAGTATCCTCTTAAATGCTTACCTGTGTACAGGTGTACAGCTGGTTTTCTAAAGATCTCAGTTTGCTCTTCAACTTGTCTTCATTAAGTTGTCCCTGGAACAAATGAGAAGAATGAAGGTTTGGGCCAAAATATAGTCTAAAGAGTTTTACTCCATATTCCTAGCTCACTGTCCAGCACATGGTTGCTCAGTGTGTGGGACTGAACTCTTTCAGGAAGTAGTGGGGAGCAACAATTACAAAGAATATATTTAGATACAAGAGGACCGCCTCCTCTTTCTCTGGACTAGGACAAGGAGGAGTCAAGCCCCCACCTCTCCCCCTTTTTTTTTAACCTAGCAAATATGTTGGGATATCATAGCAGGGTCCACTGGAAGGACGGTTTCTTCTTCTTCTTTTTTTTTTTTTTTTCATTTTTTAATTAATTGCCAGAAGGCACTTGTGCTGTCCATAGAGAGACATAGAAACAGAGAGAGAGAAAGCACCCCCAAATGAGGAGTGATCGTGCCACATCCCTTCTCCATTTCTCTATTCTGTCATGATTTTAGTCATGCATACATATGCACCTGGTGCGGTTTTCAAGCCCCCAGGGCCAGAGTTCTACTGGTCACCCATGTGGGGTCTGGCTCCCTTAACCAGTAGGCTGCCAGGCCAACCCTGACAGGAATGGTTCTAAGATGCCCTTTCTCTCTCTCTCCCTGCCTCTCCTGTCTCGGCTCTCTGTATTACTCACTTCTGCTCAATCTGTACATGGACCTTTACTTCTAAAGTATGGGCCAATAATGCCATAGGAGTCTTTCCTCCAGGGGAAATATGTATTCCCTCCCATACCCCTTGTTACAAGTTGAATTGTTTTCCCTCCACAGATCCCCAATAGCTCAGAATGTGACATTATTTGAAAATAGGGTTCTTAAAGAGGTAATTAAGTTAAAATAAGGTCATTATGTTGGGCCCTACTCTAATATGATTGGTGTCCTTTAAAAAGAGATTAGGCAACTGGGATATATCAAGGGAAGGCTGTGTAAAGACGTAGAGAAGATGACCATCTTGCTAGGAGAGACACCATAGAGGTCAACAACCTCAGAATTTTAGCTTTCAGAACTATAAGAAAATAAAATTCTCTTGTTGAAGCCACCTAATTGGTGGTGCTTTTGTTATTATTCCTGGCAGACTCATGTATTCCTCCCCCCAACTCCCATACACACGCAGTAGACTCAAGATGAGAAATTCTTTAAGAAAGCAAGAAGTGGAGGGAGAGAGATACTAAAACAAGGTGGGAGTGAGGTGAGTGAAAGGACTGCCCAGAATTTCACATTCTATTTATGCATAGGCTCAGTCTGTCTTAATGGCATTTGGACATTCCAAGAGGAATGCTAATCTCAAGGGTGACAGTGAACAAAGGTGGACAGGAGGGGCCATTCTGTTTCTCAGTTTTTGAGAATTTCAGCTGAGTAGCTAACAGCTTCCTTGTTTCTTAGTGGTTCCCTCCACCTGCAGCCTTGCCCCTTTTTCTCAGGTAGAGATTTCATTCCTCCAGCTTTAAGTTTTACTTAGTGTGTGTGTGTGTGTGTTTGGTGGGGTGGGGTGAGAGGGTGCCATCAATAACAGCAAGTTTCCTAGAGAGGGCCATGGACCTCTTTAGCAGTTTTCATATCCTTCCCCCGCCTCCTTTTTCCACCCAGACCTTGTGGGACATACGTGGTCTCTAGAAATTCTACTTCTTTTCAAGCCTAAGACGTGTGGCCCCTTTCAGTCAGATGATATGGATGTTGCCAGCCCTCATGATGTTTCTCGTTTCTAACAGTCAGGGGGGGGGGGCAGAGGAAGGGACTCTGAGGTTTTTCTCCCTCAGTGACTTTCAGGGCGCCTGGGGGAGGCAGGAAGTGGTATTTTAGCTCCTGTTTTGATCGTATTTGGCTGATTCTTTTAACCACAGGAGCCAGGGGGCGCCCCCACCCTTTTTGCTTCCTGTGTTACTCAGCTAGGCCTTGCAAAAGCAAAAAGCTTTGACAAAAACACTTTTTAAAAGTGCCTCAAACTAGAAATGTTTTTCCCAACGCCTTGTGTGAGAAAAAGCTGAGAGTCAGGGATTTGGCATCTGATACCCACAGAGCTTTCGGACAGATAAAAAGAGGTGGACAGAAATGTCCACTTTATGAGCTTTGGAGTAACTGGAAAATGGCTAGAGTTCTGAGTAGTCTGTTCATTGTCAGTCCACAAGTCCTGAGATCAACCGGCTCCACACCCACCTCCCCAGGTCCGGATCTTCCAACTCTATGCATTTTCTATCACCTCAACTCTTACTATGCAGAATGCAGTCAAGCCTGCTGAGTTTAAGGTTGATTTATGGTTGGGAAGAAAATAGGCCTAAAGCAATATTCTTAAGTGTTTCTGTCTCCTGCCTTTTTGGGTAGCCCCTCTCTCCCTACTTCGGAGTATGGCTTTAATCCAATGTTTTGCCTCTTCCAAATGTTTTTGTATTTTAGCCCAACCCCAGATTACTTTTCCATTCATGTTGCAATATCAGAAAATACATGGTAGCACATTCAGTGGGGTTGAAGGGCCACCCAAGTCTTGAGCTTGAACAAAATCTCTTGTCCACAGCTCTGCCTTCCTAGACTCCCCAAGGCAAGTAGGAAAGTTGCAGCCAAATTGTTGCAAATGGGGCATTTAGTTTCCTGGGCTGAGCCCCAGTTATCCCCACACTGAAGCCCAGTGTTACACTGTGTGGGGAGAAGCATTTTACAGGCCTAATGATGACCTTCACTCTGAAAGCCTAGGGCTTGGGGGCACTGTAACTCCACGGAAAAGGAAGAAAAGTAGAAGCCATACACACCTGGTGCCGGTCCAGGGCTTCTGCTCCTGCTTCTGCTTGATTTACCCCTGCCTCTGATCTGTCCTCCAGAAACAACACACCTCACCGCAGAAGTATCAGCCCAGAGCTCATCTCTCTGCTCTAGCAGAGGTTGCTTTGGGCTTGTAGCCAATCCCTGGCTGAGCTGTCATCTCAGGATCTTGATTCTACTTTGCAGTTCTTAAAACCCACTCATGCCCTGCTCCTGTTTTTATATTGCTCAATGTTGAGAGCGCCCTTTTTCTACTGACTGAGCTGTGAAGGCTGGACCCCACTCCAGAGGAGTCTCAGCAGTGCACCAGGACTTACGACATCCAAAAAGCCCGAGTCAGTGTGAACATGGTGGAAACTGAGGGAGCTGATCCTTGGGGTTTTAGTAGAGTTTATAGTGAGCTTTTCCTCATGTCAGGTCTATTGGAAAAAAATAAAAAAGCAACTGAGTCCAGGCTCAGTTCTGGACTCAGTCTTCAATTGTTTTCCCCAAATACCACAGATTGTTGCTGTCCTGTATTGCTGTTGATGCTTTCATGAGAAGAATAGAGAGTAGAGTTGTCTTGTTTTGAGTGAAGCAAAGGCTCTCAACTGGAAAGTATGAGACTATTTTTCTTAAAAACAGGAAGCTAGAGGTTTGGGGAGGAGGAAGAAGAGAAGGGTGAAGATTGGGAGGGGCAGGAAGAAGGGAAGGAGAGAATCACAACCAGGAGAACTTCTGCTCTTGTGCTGTAGGATGGGGTGAGACTCCCCCTCAGAAACCACGCAGGAATGTCTCTAATATATGCTCCCTGGCTCTGAGCTTGCTATGGTTCAGTCTCTTAAGTGTCTTACCTGTGATATCACAGGAGTCGCCTGCCCCACCCTCTACTTGTAACCAGGGTCCTCATTGTTAGAGATCTTTTTAAGACACAGTTTTGATCATTCACTTTCAATTCAATGTCACAGAAGTGACTGAGTTCCTTCTAAGGATGGGCCAGATGTTGCTAAGCCTAAGACTTTAAACCTCAGTAAGCTACCCTGCTTATTGCCTATATCGGGTTCATAAGCTGGGAATAGCAGTGTTTCCATGGATCTCTAATGGTTTTACTGTAAAAAAAAAAAAGTGGCCCATAAATTATCTGAGATATCCTGTTCAAGAGTCCCATAATTCTAGACCTGCCTGCGTCCCTTTCTTGGTGCTACTCTGACGGATTCCCTTCATTTCAGTCATGTTCTGCTACACCCAGGGCTCTGTTACACCGGGACCTATGATCATTCTGACCCCTTTTACTTACTTTTCTCCTTTCTGCTCTTCTTCCTCATTTCCACTTCTTCTTCTGTGCCAGTGAACCCCTATTCATCCTTCAAGACCTGACTAAAATGGTCTTTTTCCTTTGGAGCCTTTTCTATTCTACCTCAGCATAATTGCTCCCTTTTCTTTTCCTTGTATGGCTTCATATATACTGTTGTTACAGCCTTATTATACTGTTTTGGAGCGATTTACCGTGTGTTCTTTTATTCTGGTTGGAGTATGAGATCCTTAAGGCCATGGACTCTGCTTTGTTTTGTTCCTATAGCACAGGCCCCAGCACAATTACAATTTATCAAATGTCTGTTGAGCAAATGAGTGAACTGATTTCAATTTAGGTTAGCACTGGCATATACAGCTGTCTGCTCCAGGCACCTTCTCTGCTGAAGAACACAAATTCCTTAACAGTCAGGAGACTTGACCATGGACTGCCCAATCCAGGTATAATGTCTGATGGGGGGAGGGGGCTAAGTTTTGTCCTTATCCTCACCTTCCACTTCTCTGTCTAAGCACAAGCCACATTCAAGGTCAAGTGAGATGATCACGGAAACCTGTAAGGTTGTGTGTTCTGTCTCATTGCACCTGCTGCTTTATTCCTCGGTGGTAACAAACTACATGTTGCCTCCAGAATCATTCTAGTTTAGGAGGTTCAACATAGATCTCAGGACCTCTGGAAATCCCTGAGACCTTTCCAAAGGATCTACAAGGTTGTCTTCCCTTTTCCAACTATGCATCTGTGTGAGACTAAATATTCTTCATATTCTCGAGTCAAAATAATGCATTGCTACAGATCAAATGCAGAAGACAATATGAGAATCCAGGTGTCTTCTGTTCAGACACATTAAATGTATTCACAAAGACATAAAGCAATGCTACTACCGTTCTCTTTATTTGTTGTTAATAATTTTCATAAAAATATATAATTTAGATTAGCATATAATTGTTCATTATTATTTTTAAAATAAATATTTATAAATTTTTTCCTTTTTTTTTCAGAGAGAGATTTTTGCTACAGGGTGCAGGTGCTCGCCAGAGAGACGAAGAGACAGAAAGCAAGAAATCATCCTTTTGGGGGGATGATCACACTGCAATCCCTTTTTCTCCATTCTCCTCCCAGGATCTTGGGCACACATGCACACATGGCCAGCATGAGATCTAAACTACCAGGTCAGGGACTCGAACCGCAGTCGACTATGTGTAAGTCTAGTGATGTAACCATTACGCCATCTGCTGGTCCCTAAACTCATTGTTTCTAAGGCTGTTGAAATAGGTTCCTTAAGATCCCCTGCATAGGCAATCATGCAGGGAGCATTGTTTCAGCGGCCACACTGCAATCCCTTCTCCTTCATTCTCTTCTCAGGGTTTTGGAATATGCACACACACATGCCTGGCATGAGTTTTAAGCTGCTGGGTCTGGGACTTGAACCATGGTTGACTATGTGGTAGTCCAGAGATATAACCATTAACGCCATCTACTGGTTCCTCTGATACGGTAAATTCTAATATGGTAGGCTGGCCCTATAGCACAGTGGCTAAGTACTGTACAAAGAAAGCCAGATCCCACAACCAGGGTTGGGGTACATGGGAGGCAACTCAAAAAACATGCCTGGGGCCAGCAGATGGTGTGGTGGTTAGGGTGCTGAACTCCCACATGGCCGACCATAGTTTGAGTCCCAGACCTGGTGGCTCGCTTTTTCACCCCCACCCCCACCTTTGTTGAGTGCATATGCCCTAATGCAAATTTTTAAATAATAATAATAAGTGAAATTAAATAATAATATTTTTTTTTTTTTAGGGATTTTTTGCTACAGGGCGTTTGCACTAGCCAGAGACACAGAGAGAGACAGAGAGAGAGAAAGTGAGAAGTCATCTCCCGGTGGGGGGGGAGCCACATTGTAATCCGTTCTCCTCTCAGACCTGGTGCAGGGGTAGCCACATTGTAATCCGTTCTCCTCTCAGACTTTGGGCACACATGCACATGCACCTTCAGTGAGTTTCAAGCCACTGGGTCCGGATCTCAAACTGCAGTTGGTCATGCTGAAGTCCAGCACCTTAACCACTGTGTCACCTGCTATCCCCAAAAGAAAAAGAAAAACATGCCAGGCATGTGTATATGTGCCCAGATTCCTGACAGGATGGAGAATTGTAGAAAAAAAAAATTGCAGTGTGATTGGGCCCTAGTGCAAGGTACTTTGTCTCTCTTTGTTTCTTACATGCACATGTTCATGCATGCACCCTCTGGTGTTAAAACTTTTTCTTATATGGTAAAAATAAGAGGTTTTTTGGGATTTTCAATAATTAAAAGAAAAAAAATAGTACAGGACCAGCCCTGTTGCCTAGTAGTTAAGGAAACCAGATCTCACATGGCCAATTGCAGTTTGAGTCCCAGCCCTGGCAGCTTGGAGAACATGCCAGATGCATGTGTGTACATGCCCCAAATCCTGACAGGATGGAGAAATGGAAAAGAGATTATGGCATGACCATGCCCCATTGGGGGGTACTTTCTCCTTCTCTCTTTCTCTGGCAAGTGCACTTGTCCTCTGGCAATTAAAAAAAAAATAGTATAAAGGGGTCCGAGATAAAACCTCTTCTGTCTGGGCTCTGATAGGGTTCTTCCAGGCTTCTCATGTCTGTGTTCAGTCCCTCCTTGCACTAGACTATATCGTACCTCTGGGTCTTTGCCTGTACTGCATCTCCTGACTAGGATACTGTGCCTGCTTCCACACTTGCCTGGCAAATGCTTATATACCATAAATATTCCTTTGGCTCTCCTCTTCTCTGGAGTTATTCATTCCTTCCTGTATTTTACTATATCCTGAAAACATTTATTTATTTTTTTAATCTCTCTGTATTATTTAGACATCTGTTTTTCTTAAAAAGTCATGAGTTTTCTAAAAGCAGAAACCCTATCAAATTAATCTCATTATTTCCAGAGCTGGTAGCCCAGTCCTTGGTACAGAGAACATGATCTATGAATATCTGTTAGAAGTCTGAATCAGGAGACCTGACTTTTAGTTCCAGTTCTGCCACTAACCAGCTAAGTGACTTTGACAAGTTACTTGACCTCTCTGAGACTTAGTTTCCTTATTGGCAAAATGAAAAGATTAGATAAAAGGGTCTCTGAGATTTCTTCCCATGCTGGCATTCATGTCTGGGCTGAGTAATGAAGCATGCTGGCTTAAAGTAAATATTTGAGTGACTCTCATATAAAAATAGTTGACATTTACCATATTCAGTAATATTAACTGTACTGGGACCTTCCTTCTTCCCTTCCCACAAATTGAAAAAAAAAAAAAAAAAAAAAAAGGAATGCCTGCAACTTTTGGTTCTGGGTTTTCCCGGGGCATGTAGAAGCATGACCTTCGGTTGATGACCCTGGAATTAGCTATGTTCTCCCATAGATTTACTGTGACTTGTTTGAACTCTAGGTGTCAGCACCATTCCCCTCTCTCTCTTAATTCTTCCCAACTCATCTCTTGCTGAAATGGTGTGGAAGGAAAAATGAGATGGGCACATGAAGAAGCCAATAAGCTTTGTTAGAAGATTCCATTCTCTTACCTTCCAAGAGCTGTCAGAAGCCCTGATCAGGGTGGACAGTAGGTCTTGGAGAATCACCATTTTCTGTTTTAGGACCAGCTCCCTTTGTAGGGCCTCCTGGGGGAAAATGCAAGAGGGTAAGATTAACCTGGAGTAGGAGCAGGTAAGTGGATGGAGGAGCTGAGGGGAGAGGTCTCATGCCACTTACTTTGAGGTACTCAGAAAGCTGGATGATTTCCTAGAGAGAAAAGAAAAGGGTACTCGAAGACTCTAGGTTCCCTGAAATCCTGGAGCATGTAGAACCAGAGCCTGGATTGAGTTGTGTAGAGTAAACCTCTTCTGCCTGGACTCTTACAGGGTTCTTCCAGGCTTCTTATATCTGGGCTCAGATCCTCCTTGCCATCTAAGAAGAAGGTGCCCCTCCAACCCAGCTTGAGTTTACCATGAAATTCCAGACTGTCAGAGCTTAAAAAATATATGATTTAACCCCTTTAAAGCAAAGAGTTTGCTTACCTTATCCAGAACTGCAACTCCATAACTGTGAAGAGGAGGGGGGGAAAAAGGACAATGGGCCAAAGAATCAAACAAATCAGGAGGCAGTGGGTTGATTCCTTTTGGGATCTTTTTTGAAGAGCCAATAGGGTGGGGAAGGGCTTATTTTTTAATTAAGGTGGACATGGAATTTCTTTTTCCATATACTGTGTGGAAGTATTTAGGTAAATGCTTAGAAGAGAGGGATAGATGAATATGAGGGGCTTGAGGTCAGGAATTTGGAAGTTGTTAGACTCAAAATGGAGTCATTTGTGTCAGCTTGTGTTAAATTGACTAAACCAAGCTGGAGAATGCTATAGAGGGGGGTAGTTCCCACACAAGTATGCCTGATAACAGCTACTGTCACAAGGAAGTTGTGGTGGCAGAGCAGTAATGCAACACTCTTCGATGCTGAGGTCCTACAGGAACATCCTGGGTCTGTGCTGGGTACATGTGAGCTTGCCTGTGACCCTACCTGGCTGAGGCTGGGGGGAGAATCATGGTGTGATGACCCTGTTGAGGGTATATCCCCTCATTCTCTTTTCTCCCATGGAAAAAATAAACTTAAACAAAGGGGGGTCATTACAAGAATTCTGCCAGAACTACAATCTTGTACCAAGGTCCTCCTAACTTTCTACCAAAAAAAACCAAAAAAAAAAAACCAAAAAAACCCTTTGTAAGAACATCTCCCCCTAACCACCTTCCAGCCTTGGACTGCTGTCACCCTTGTTATTGATCCGAGGAGCCAAGAGTAATTGTTCCCAAAACAACTTGTATAATTCCTCCTCATTCTTCTTTTAGAAATCTGTATCTTCCTTTACCTCCCTGAATACAACTATGGTTTACTATGGCAAGTGTAATCACATTGCAATGCCTATTCCTGAACAAATATCATTTTTCTTTAAGAGTCTTTCTCTTGCCTGTTATTTAGAAGTTGACAGGAACACGAAAGGAACTCACTTAGTTTGTTGACTGGCATCGTTCTTAATTGTTGGTTGTCCTTCTTCTGTTTTTGTCTGAGTACCTGAGAGATGGAGGATAAGATGATTCAGAACCCTTAGCAAGGAAGGAAGGAAGTACAGAGGGACAGGGCCTCTCCATTGTTGGTGAACTGGAACTGCTATGGCAGATGGGGGCTGTCTGCAGGCTCTGTTTAGCAAGGGGTCTCTGCTCTTACCACGGTGGTGTTTGGGTGGGTTCTTGGTGGGAGAGTCCTGTGTTGGAAGGCCCCCAGCCTGTGAAGAGAGGTGGTCAGCCAGATCTCTCTGGACTCCTGAAGGAGAATGATGTTGGGTTGGAAAGGTCTCACAGTTGGTCCCAGGTACCTTGAAAGCAAGCAGGGGAGGGGAATGCTGAAAACCACTGCCTAGAACCTTTTAGAAGGAGTTTCCAATTGATTTCAGAAAAAGGAATCAATGATCATGTTGTTATGGATTAAAAGTTTGTGTGTGTCTCCCCTTGTCCCCATCCCAATTCATAAATTATAATCCTGTGTACCAATCTGGAGGTAGAAACTTTGGGAAGTAATTAGATCACTGGGTGGAATCCTTATGAATGGGACTAGTGCATTTATAAAAAGAGACATGAAAGAGCTTCCTCTCTGCCATATAAGGACACCTGAGGAGAAGACCACCTATACCAGGAAGAATGTCTTCACCATACACAGGATCTGCCGGAGACTTGATCTTGGACTTTCAGCCTCCAAAAGTGTGAAAAATAAATTTTCTGTTGTTTAAGCCACCCTGGGTAAGGTAATTAAGGGTAATTTGTTATAGAGTTCCAATGGACTAGGACAGTATTACGGGTCCAGAGGAGGAAGGTCACCCACTCAATCCTTCAGGACCACAAGATTCTTCCTGGCAGATGGAAATGGTCCTCCTTCCTCCAGCCAGGCAAATGGAGCTGGAATTGCCTACAGCTTTTCCTCTCTAGAATCCCCGATCTACTTTGTTTGGTCACAGTCATTGACACAACCAGCACCGTGATGTGGAGAGCATGGAGTGAGGGGACCTGGCTCCGGTCCCCCTCTTCTAGGTCTTAGTCTCCTGTCTAGGTAGTGAGGAGTTTGGAACAGGTGATGGATCTCTAGGGCCCTTTCATATTCTAGAGATGGCTTCCATCCTCTTGGGAATAGATGGAACATTGCTGAGGTATTGTGTGAAGAGAGCACATCAGGGAGTCGTTGGGAATTTAGTCTGGTTTTTTTTTTTTTTTTTTTTGAGAGTTTTTTGTTATAGGGCACATGTGCTTGCCAGAAAGACAGAGACAGAGAGACAGAAAGCGAGAAATCACCCTTCAAGGGAGATGGCCACACCGCAATCCCTTCTCCTCTGCTCTCCTCTCGGGATCTTGGGCACGTACGTGCACTCGCCCTGCGTGAGTTTAAGTCGCTGGATCCGGGACTCAAGCTGCGGTCGACTACATGGGAGTCTAACCACATAGCCATTATGCCAATTGTTGGCCCCGTATATTTTCTACTTATAAACTCAGAAGTCGAGGTTGGTAACAGCACTAAAAGGCTAAGAAATGCCTGTGGATCCAATCATATGGACTGACTCTACTTCAGTGAAACCTTATAAAGTAGACAAGGGGTGGGATGGAGTTCCTTAGTTAATTATATTTTCTGTTTTCTTTCTCCTGAATTTTTTTTTTTCTTTTTAATTTTTGGAATAGGTCACATGTGCTCACTGGAGGCATACAGAGGGAGGGGGGAAAGTGAGACTGCATCACCCAAGGGGATGGCCATGCCACAGTCCTTTCTCCTCTTGGGATTTTGGGTAGACACACACACACATGCCGGTGTGTTGTTTAAGCCTCTGTACTAACTGTGCAGTCAACCAATTGGAATCTAGTACCTTAACCTCCACACCACCTGCCGCCCTGCATGTGCCTTTTTTTTCTTTTTCTTTTTTTAAGAATTATTTATTTAAATTGACTTATTAGTAGTAGTCTTCAACTTGACCAGAGAGAGACGGAATGTGAGAAAGCAAGTTACCAGGTCCAGGATTCGGAGTCCGTGGACCTGTGGGAGTCCAGTGCCTTAACCACCACACCACTGCTGCCCACTGCACTTGCCTTTCTATAAAAATAATTTTAAAACAATTCCATAATTAATAACCTAGTTTACTTTTCAATTTAGGTGCATTCTAGCGGCAACTTCTACTCTCTTGGGAATAGATGGAACGTTCCTGAGGTTTTGTATGAAAAGGCAAAGTAGGGAGCTGAAGGGAAGGTCATAGAAGCAGTAGTCACTTCCTCCCTACCCAGAGCAGCGTGTCCCTTGGCATGGCCCACCTGCTGTCCTGGAGAAGAAATCTTGTTGGCACAAGATAAGGGTTCCCTGACCGTCTCCTGGCCTGGCCTCCTGGAGGGACCCGGCTCCCTGGCCTGGGGACGCTGTGTCTTGCCTTGCTCCTCCAGCTCCAGATTTCTCCTCTTGAAGAATTGCTGCTGTCGAGCTCTCTGGAGCTGCTCTCTCTGTTGGATTCTCAGCGCCTTCCCCACCTGGCGGCAAGTGGTCATGTTGGGGCGGCAGCGGCGGCTCTCCCGGGTCTCCTGCCGGCGCTCCCACTTAGCCTCATAGCTCTCAGCCCACCGGGCCAAGCCAGGGCAGGGCCTGGGATCTCGACTGATCATGATGACCTCCGAGCACCTGTTGTGCTTGGCTTCCAGTTCCTGGAATAGCTGCTTGGATCTGCCAAATGCCAAGAGGGAGGAGAAAGGGAGGGGTCAGAAGATGGGCAGAAAAATGACTATTTCTCTGGACCAAGGGTGGAAATAGCACAGCAGTAGGCCATGAAAACTTCAGATGTGATGGTGTCAAATGGGAGTGAGGACTCCTGAGTTCAGCCTCCAGTGAGCTAGTAATATCTAATAAAAGTGAAGTCCTACTTTCCTCTCTCTGTGTCTCCACTCTGTAATGTGGAAGGGTGTCTGGCTACCAGTTCTTTAACTGAATATCTCATCATGCCTCTAAGTCAGAGGGACTTGAGAAATAATTTATAATGGGACCAGCAGTTAGTGTAATGGCTATGTCGCTAAACTCCCATGTAGTCAACTGCGGTCGAGTCCCAGACCCAGTGGCTTAAACTCATGCTGGGCGCGAGTGCATGTGTGCCCAAGATTCCAAGAGGAGAATGGAGGAGAAGGGATTGTGGTGTGGCCATACCCCCCTGGGGCTGATCTTAAAAAATAATTTATAGTACTTTTAATGAGGACTGGCCCCATGACGTAATGGCTAAGAGAGCCAGATCCCACATGGCCAACTGCAGTTCAAATCCTGGACCCAGTGGCTTTGAAACTGCCAGGCACAGGTGTGTGCATGTCCCAAATCCAGAAAGGATCAAAAAAAGATTGGAGGAAAAAAGATTGCAATATGACCATGCCTCATTGAGAGGCACTTCTCTCTCTGGTGAATCCATGTGCCCTTTGGTAATTAAAAAAAAAAAAATCATAATTAATTTGTAGCCTCTTGAATAGCAGGTATGTGTTTCATTTAAAATTTTTTAAAATTATTTTTATTTTTATTTCTAAAGAAACAATTGAATGAACTTCCCTCCACCTTATCCCTTGATCTAAAAAGAAACTTGTCATCTTTACTGTTTTCTTGGCCCAAGTTGTCACTCACGGAGTTGAGTGACACCTCTCCAGATGTAGAGGGATAACTCGACCTCCTCAGGATGTGACCACCACCCTCTGCTCTTTTCTTGACCTGCGGCACGCAGCTCACGGAGCCTGGGCCTGGGATGGTTTAGGAGGGAAGCTCCGCCCTAATTCCTCCATCATGGTGTCCTGACTTGTTCAGAGCCACACAAACCCAGGGCTGGGCTCTGGCTCTCAGTGCAGATCAAGTCAAATCCGTATTGGTTGAGCACCTGCTACATGCCCTGTGTAGGCCACAACCAATTTCAGAGTATCTGGCTCAGAAACTCGTGGAACTAAGGATTCCATTTCTTTTGGATCATCTCCCTGTGAGGGCCAAATCTGGTGCCAAGTCTGTGTCTAGCTCAGATGCAGATTGTGCCATTTAAACCAGCAAACACACAATAATATCTCAATAAGGCTATGACAAGTAAAAAAACAAACAAACAAAAAAAACAGAAAAAAACAAACCAAACATAACAGTAGCCAAAAGTCTGCAGGGAACCAGGCTTGGTGTAGAGGACATTCTTGACGCCCCTCCTCGTGGACTTACCTTCAAAACCCTGATCCTTTCTTGCTTCTCTGTGCCTTTCTCGCTTTTCTACTCCTCCCCACCTACCTTCTACTCTTCTAGAACTCTCTGATAGCTTGGCGGATTGGGGCTGGACTTGAATGAACTGGATCCTGAGGACTGAAAGTCTATGTCCTGCCTCCTCTGGTCACTGGAGTCAGACCAGGGACTCCCCCTCACAGCTGCTGCTGTTTCTCTCCATGCCGTGACCCACCACCCTGGAAACTGTAGTTCCTGGGTAGGTCAGAGGAGAGCATCTCAGCTTCACCAACAAGCCGGCATTCGACAGCTCTAACCCCCACCCCTCCTCCAGTTTATTTATAGACCAAACAAATACATAAGTAGCAGCTTCTCTGCCCCTTTATTGAGACTTTGTTTCCCATCCTGGCTCAGTCTGGAATTCTCTGCAAGATTCTTGCTCTCTCTCTGAACATACCACTCATTCCCCGGGCTTCTGGGCCAGCAGTTTTATCCTTGAAAGGGGTCTTCTGTGGTCAAGCCCTGGGGCTTGTGGGCAGGCAGTTTTATCCTTGAAAGGGGTCTTCTGTGGTCAAGCCCTCACTGTTGGAAGGCCACACTCTAGTCTCAGGCAGTGACAGTCCCAAGAAGAATTCTGAGGCCTGTAACATTTGTTCTCTCCATACTGTCTCAGAAGGGCTCTCTTCTTTCTTTAAATATCTCTTCTGACTTTTAGTTGTGGGGCCCTTTGATTTTCCATCTGCTACTTTCTTTATTTAAAATTTAAGAAAGTATACAAGCGACTCATCCAGATTATCAATGACTAAATGGAGGAGTCAGGATTATGTACACATGAACGCTATGCCCAGAACATGCGTCTGTGGCACTGCTAAGCTATCGCTTCTGGCTATTCTGCCATAGACGTAGAGGAGCCTTGGCTCTGACCCCTGTCCTGGCTCTTGAAATCCCAGTCTTCTCATCTTTAAAATGAGGCTATCCTTTGTATGGTTATGAAGATTAAATGATAAAATGCATGCCATATACATAGCACCCAATAAGTGTTAGCTTATTATTATAATGCAGCAAAAATATTATTATTATTATCCTTGTCATGCTGATGTTGTATATTGAAGACTTGGTGCTATGAGACAGAGGGCCCAAACTAAACTAGTACCCTCAGGACCAAGAATGCCTCATCTCCTCTAATTCTCCCAACCCTCTCTCTCTCTGAAGGAGTATATTGTTTACCAGATTAAGGAGATACTGGTGCCAGATTAAAAAATCACATTTATTGTTCTGATTCATCTGACCTCTGGCTTTGGACTTGATTTGGTTTGAATAATGGTTTGTTCCCATTGAGGTTCATGTTTTGGAATTTACTCTTAGTGGGCAGTGATTGACTATCCCTCCAAAGTTCACGTGCTATATTATAAAGGTGTTATATGAAAGCTTAATCCTTTCATGGTGTTCTAGGGTGGGGTTTTTGGATGTGATAAAGTCACTACTGCTGGGCCAGTGATTGAGTTCTGGTATGTACATGAAGAGAGGAAATAAGGCAGAGAGAAACTCATGAAAACAGACCATGCTCACTGAAGTTCTGCCTTCCTGGGGCCAGCTCTATGACTGCTCAAAAGAAGCCGGGTCCCACACAGTGACTATAGTTTGAATACCTGGCAGGATAAGACTTAAACACATCAGGTGCATGCATGAAGACCTAGGATGTGACAGGCTGAAGGACTGGAGCAAGGGGACTACAGCTTGACCAGCTCCTGCGGAGGGGGCTCCTCCCGCTTGCTTTCACTTTCGTGAGTGCACACATGCTCTCTATCATGAAGAAAGGAAAAAAAAAATTCTACCTTCTGCCATTCTGTGATACCTTTGGACTTTCCAGACACTGGAATCACTAAGTTTTGCAAATAAACCTTTATTTTTTTTATAGATCCCTCAGTCTCAGTGACTTCTGCTAGCAATGCAAACAACAGACCAATACAGGCCTACAAGGAGAAAGGACTTTTCTGTCATCTGGTCATAATCACCATCTCAATTAGATCAAGCAGAACGGCAAAGATGTGGAAGTGAAGAATTGGTTCCAACCTGCCTGTAGCACACCATTAAAATGTGGGGTATGAGGTCCTCTCACTGGCTCCAGGTTACCCACAGCTTTGTAGTGGAGACAGAGTCCCTGATTATTGAAAATCCCTGTACTTCTGGCTGTGAAGAGGAAAGGGCCATGGATGAGAAGAGAGGCCTGAGATGAGGTTTCTTGGACTCCGCTTGGACCATCTTCCTTAGTCCACTGAAACACATGGCTACTCTGCTCTTTGCTTCCTTAGGGACAGACCCTGGGACTTAGCACCCGAGAGGAAAGTGCAGGAGAGATGAGTCCTCAGGGAGGGAGCCTTCCCCAGGTCCGTAGGCCCCACACCTGGTGGGATTGGGTGTAGGGTAGATGAGTGAGTAGTACTCAGATGTCCCAGTTGTCTCAACCATACTGACTTGCTTAAAAACAAGAAACCATGTGGATCGACTGATTGACAGGATTAGGCTGTAAAAGAAAAGGAACTTGTCCTTGTAGGGTTCAAAGAAAGGCCACTAGGCCACTGCTAGGGATTCTGGCATCTCTGGGCTCCCCTTGGCAACATGACAGGGACTAGTTGGAACTTGGAGGAAGAGGTGGTGCTAGCAGAGCTACAGGGAGAGACCAGGGTGTTGCCTCTTACCTGATGGTGCCTTGTCAACTGCCTTTCCAAGTCTCTGCTTCTACTTCCTGGCCATGTGCACGACAAAGAAGATGACCGGCTCCCTGCATGGGCCTGGCCTGCCTAGAGCAAAGCTCTCAGAGTGAGCTAAGGGGGAGCTGGACCCAAGCTGAGCTACTGGAAAGGCAGCTGTATGTATGGGATCCCTGCCTTGAAGGGGACTGTAAAAGGCTATTTAATTCACTGGTAGCCTAAATTCTAAGTCGCTTGACTTACTCTCTATTCTGATCTAGTGAAATGGATAGAGCAAAAGGAGCAATGAGGATTGTACCCCTGTGCTATAGCTAGTGGCTCTGAAAACCGACACAAGATGCTTGCTTGGTTACTCAGTTCCCAATACTGTTAAATGAGTGGCCTGCCCTGTGCCTTCCTGTTCACACAGGGATTTGGATGACAGTGCATCTTCTGCCCTACCCCAAAGTCAGAGGTCCCAAACCTGGATACCCAACTGTCCTCCTCTTCAGTTACCTCTGGGTCCCAGGCTCCAGCCCAAGTAGCTCAGGAAAGCATCCCAGCTCCTGGATAGATCTTGGCTCTGGTGTCAGATGGAGCAAGACAGAAGCAGCTGGGTGAGTGTAAGCTCTCAATCCGTGACTCTGGACCCCCTGAGCATTTCCTTACTTGTTTCTGTCTTTTTGCCCAGCAGCCTTGCTGAAACAGGAAACAGACAAAGCCACAATGTTCACAAAAACCCCAGTTCCTCTCTTTTGCTCTGAGTGGCCCCTTTACCCTGAGGCCCCTTGGGCGGGGCTCACAAGCTCCTCCCAACAGTAGGAACCCAAGCACCTCTTTTCTCTCTCCTGGATTGGTCTGAGGTCTCTGACAGTTTCAAGTCAAAAATCCTTTCCAGGGTTAGAGAAGGATGGACCTCTGGGTTGGATTCAAACCTTGCAGTTTCTATGGGGGTAAAAGTGACTCTTTGTTGGTAAAACCTAAAAGAGACGTTCTCAGCGTAGGCTTTCATGCATCCAAAGATAAAATAAAATGAAAAATAAATGACAAAAGTGAGAAATACTTCGACCCCTTTGGGGGGTGACTCCATTTACACTTGAAATATATAGGGAATAAATTCTGAAATCAAGAATGCATCGAGAGCAAGGATAATGTAACATGTGAACATGCAGAGAAACCAAACTGAAGCCGTCTCTTGCTCACCGTGCTTCCAGTGCTCCTAAAAGTTCTCCCGCATGGGCCCTGAGCAGGAGCTCCTCTAGTTAAATTCTTTCCTGGAGTAGTCATTCAGACCCGTCACTGGGATAACTCCTTTCTTTTGCCTTTAACAGTGGGGAAGCTGGTGACCTTAGTATTTACCCTTGATACTTCCTCTCAGGTAACTTGCTTCTCTTACCAGTAACAATAAAAAGACTAATACTCTTTGATTTTTTAGCCCCCAAACATTCACATCTAAGTTTGTCCCTATTGTATAAGTTAGCTTTTTTAAAGGTTCCAGCTTACTCAGGGGAAGGGGTGGGAGGGAGGCAGAGGACTGGGTGGACAAAGTGTGGGGTGTCAGCATGGCAGTGGTGCCGTGAAGTGGGGCACAGGAAATGTGAAGTCCGCACCTGCTACTGATCCCCAAACTCTGTTTGTAAGTTACACTGTAATAGAAAATTTTATCAAATCCTCTATGGAATTGTCGGCTTTGTTTTCCAGTCTCAGAGCACAGCCCCACATGGAAACATTCAGAAAAGCATCTGTGAGGTATTGCTAAGGCATGACCAAAGGAAATCATAGTCTTAAACGTTGTCATTACTTAAATAAGTAAAATAAAAAAGAAATGACATATTCATTTGTTATTTAGACAAATTTCTAAGAAAAAAATTAGAAAAATCAAAGAAAGATAATAAAAACAGATACCAAGAGAAAGGAATATATTATATTAACATGAGTTAAATTGATAATAAATTCAGAAGCTTGTTTTTGCATGCATGTAGGTGAAGGGTAGAAATACTGATAGAAAATCAAATCATTTGGCAAATCAATATAAAAGAAAAGGAAGGAACCAGCAGTTAGTGTAATGGCTATGTCGCTGGACTCCCACGTAGTCAACCGTGATTCGCGTCCCGACCCGGTGGCTTAAAACTCACACTGGGTGCGTGTGCGTGCATGCCCAAGATCCCGAGAGGAGAATGGAGGAGAAGGGATTGCGGTGTGATCATCCCCCCCTGGGGGTGATTTCTCGCTTTCTGTCTCTATGTCTCTGTCTGTCTGTCTGGCGAGCGCACACGCCCTAGAGCAAAATCCTCTCCAAAAAAAAAGAGAAAAGGATATCTCTAACAATTTAAGAATAAACACAATACAGTGATAATTAAAATAATTTTAGAGTCATTTGTATAACTATGCTAGTTTTTATTTGTTTGATTTTTACTAGAGGGCACAATTTCTTTTCTTCCATTTCTCCTTCCTTTGGGGAAGAGATGTATGTGAATTCATGCTCATGTGCCTATGTATTTCTTGAACTGCTGGGTCTGGGACTTGAACTGTGTGGTTAGCCATTTAGGATTTGGCCGTCTTGGGGCCAGCAGGTGGTGTGGTGGATAAGGGCGTTGGATTCCCACATGGCCAACCATGGTTCAAGTCCTGGACCTGGTGGCTTGCTTTCTCACTTTCTCTTTCTCTCTCTCTCTCTCGTCAAATAAAGAAAAAAAAATAACAATAACAAATGGAAATAAATAAATAAATAATTCTTAAAAAAAAAAAAGGATTTGCCCATCTTAACCATCAGGCCACAGAGTTTGCCCTATGTTAATGTTTTGAAAATCTGGATAAAATGAACTTAAGAAAACTCTGATTTACCAGATTAGGTGCAAGTACAGAAATACAGTCTAATCATCAGCTGGCCTCCACCTGGGGATCCCTTTCTTCTAATGTGGGCTAGTAAAGGGAGGGTTTAAATCAGGCTACTCTTGAGCTGGGCACCTGGAATTTACTGGCCAGCACTCTGTGGTTCTTCTCATTGCTAGCTAGGTTCACTAGAACCCTTTGTTGATGGTCATATCCTAGAACTTCTAGACATAGGCTCCTTGATAAATGTTGGGTCCTGTGTGGACTCCCATGAAGAGATGAGTAGAGGGTAAGCAACACTTTGCTCCATAACCCAGTTGCTTTACTCTTCACAATTTCACACAAGCATGTGCAATATCAGATAAGGTGGGATTATTAGATTTTATTGTAGGGTTAGGGTAACTAAAGGGAATTCCAATTAATGAAAGGAAGAATTTTAACCTGTATGCTAATGACTTTCCCTATACTCTAGGAGACAGTACTAAGAAGTTAAGGCCTTCGTAAGGATCCCCTCATGGTTGCTGCTAGTTCTAATCTTGTTCCCCTTTTCTTGCTATTGGGTGGCTCCCTGCTTATCTGCTGGGAGATGACAACCTTACCCAGAGGAGTTGTTCTTGCCTTAGAATCCTCTCAGGTACTCCCTACAGTGTTTTCTTGGCAATGCGTTCTTCATGTCTACATTATTCATTCTAAAATAATGCTTCAGACACTTCTAATAGGATAATCCATGGTAGCCTCGGTACCCCAAGTTTTGTAGAGCAGCTCAGGGTCTGTTCTTGTTCACATTCTCCCTTTTGGGTGACTTACAGACTCTCCTCTTTAGTCTCCCAAGTGTCTGCTGGTAACTGTTTAATGACAGGTCCTCACAAATGTTCAAAGGACAAATATTCAAGAGTGCTATGGCCTAAACTCATCAGAAAGAAGATAAATATTTCCTTAACTCCTACATTTGCAAGGTTGCCTTCATGCAGTGGAGTTATGACTTCACATTGGTGGCAGGACAGAGTTCTCATTTTCAGATATCTGTTGTTGTTGTTGTTGTTGTTGTTTTTGCTATAGTGTGTATGTGCTCACCAGAGAGAGAGAGAGGGAAAGTTAGAAATCACATCCATCCCCTACCCCACCGAGTGGATGGTCACGTTGCAGTTCCTTCTCCTCTGTTCTCGTCTCAGGAGAGAGGAGCACATGCACACACACCCCGTTTTTCAGGCTGCTGAGTCTGAGACTCAAACTGCACAGTCAGTCATGTAGAATCCAGCCACCTTAACCACCATGCCACTGGCTGGTCCCCGTGGGGATCAGTAGCAGGTATGGACTTCATGGCTCCTGTGCCCCACTTCACTGCACCACTGCTATGCTGACACCCCACACTTTGTCCACCTAGTGCTCTGCCTGTCTCACACCCCTTCCCCCCAGCAAACTGGAACATTTAAAAAAGCTATTACAATTGTTCACCTTTTTTTTTTTTAACTTAAGTTTATTGATTTCTTTCTTGAGAGTGAGAGAGAGAGACAGTGAAAGAGAGAAGACAAACACCAAACACCAAGCACTCATCAGGTTCCCATCCACTGACCCACCCCAGCATTTCTACCCAACCAGGATCATGAGTCTGAATGTCCATGTGTCCTGGTGGACCAGGGAGCCAAACCCATCATCCTCCCTATGGATCCAGCATCTCTCTCTCTTTTTAAAATGATCTAATTTGACCAGAGAGAGAGAGAGAGAAAGAGAAAGTGAGAAAGGAAGCCACTAGGTCCAGGACTTGAACCACGGTCGGCCATGTGGGAGTGTCCAGCTCCTTAACCGCCATGCCACTTGCTGGTCCTAAAACTTGCCAGTACTGTGATTATCATTTTTTTTTTAATCCAGCATCTCTTAAACAGCTCATTACCACTGCACCACTGAGCACCACTGAGCCAGCCCTCTTTCATTGTATTGTATCATCATCGTTGGTAGAGGGCATTTTGGCAGAAGGAAACCTCAAAGTTATGCTGTAAGAGACATTTGATATTAAGAAGAGATTTATCTGTTGTATAGATGCTAAGAAAGGCCTAATTAAAAGTTACACATAACTGTGGATTCATTATTGTGGCTCCAGCTTTAAGCAAGGGACAAGTTATGTTTCGTCCTAGGCTCATGAGAAGATGGTCTCACTGGCTTTGACCCCGATAGAATACAGCCTCAGGCATGGAGGATGGGGGTAAAGGTAGGGATGTGTGTATATTACAGAACAGATGGACAGATAGAAAAAGAAAGAGTAAGGTAGACCAGAAAAAGGAAGGCCTCCAGGCACCCTTCTCTGTTTAGACCATAAGGACAAACCACAAGTTAATCTTTAAAGCAGCTTTAGTTCCTCTGCTTTATGATTCATTTCAGATTCGATACTGTGGGCCTGACAGAATATGAAATGAGGCTATTCCTGAGTCAAATGTCGTAATGGCTCGTCCCCTACTTATGCTGTGCCCTTTCTCATATGAAAACTTACTGTGTTTAGGGCTCATTAAAAACATCACTGTCCTCTCCTTCGTGTGTGTATGTGGGTGTATGAGTGTGAGTGGTCCAATAAATGGGAGTCTGAGAACTTCTAGTTTATAACTAAAGACCACATTATTTAATTTTAAAATATACTCACATAAATGATTGAGTTATTCAAAAGCATCATTTAAAAAAATTATTTATTTATTTTGAGAGGTTTTCCTATAGGGTATGTGCGCTCACCAGAAAAACAGAGAGACAGAGAGACAGAAAGTGAGAATCACCCCCGGGGGGATGGCCATGTTGCAGTGCCTTCTCCTCCATTTTCCTCTCGGGATCTTGGGCATGCACGCACATGTGCCTGGCATGAGTTTAAACCACCAGGTCCGGGACTCGAGCCACAGTCGACGACTTGGGAGTCCAGCAACATAAACATTATGACAACTGTCGGTTCCAAATTATTCAAAAACATCATTAAACAAAAAGTTAAAAATATAAACTTTTCTATTCATTAAAATATGCTTCCTCTTACTTTACTTCTTGTTTTTGTTTGTTTGTTTTTGTTTTTGTTTTTCCCATGTAGCCTATGTGGTCAAAGACATTACTAGTTTCTTAAGCTGAAAATTCTCAGATCTCCACAGTAGTCACCAAGACTCTAGTTTCAGAGATGTTGGCTTTCCAGTCAAACTAGGTTATTCAATAATGCGATCCTTTTTCTGAAACAGCCGGTTTTCCTTCCTAGTTAAGTTGTCATTTCCTGGCACAGCCTGCCTATACTCTCCTAATTGTTTCACAAAGGGCCTCACATTCCAAACTGAAATATCCTCCAGAGCCTTTTCTAGACATTTTGCACATTTCTGCAACACCTTTCCAATCTGTTTTATACTCAGCATGATCTGTCATCTATAATAAAGAATATTTAAACTGATGCAGTAAGACTGAGCCAAAACTGATCTCACCAAAAGCACGACACCGCTGTCAGCCCACTTGGCAGAGAGCATTTCAGGGGCTTGTTGAAAGACTAGTCTTTAAAGCAGATGGACAGACAAATAGGTCAGAAAGCATTCAGATTTCCTTTTATTTCTAATCTTTTTTAGGTTTGTAAAAATTATAGCACAATAACACTTAAGTGGTTTTTTTTTTTTTGAGAGGTTTTTGTTATA